GGGCATTTTAAGTTTTCTTGTGCGCTGATTATGTTGTAGAGCAAGCCCGATACAAAACGGGGTGCCTGACTGTGGGTCCTCACCCGCGCGCTTAAAAGGACTTATCCATGCTCTACTGCAGGCACACGCGAAAGGTTCATAAAAGGTTTATTTACAAGGGAAGGGGAAATGAGGAAATGTACAGCTCAGGGAGAAAAGTGGGAGACAAAGTTTTCAATGAGTCCTACCCGATCCGCCGATCAGGAATCCCAAAATGGCGCTCTGAGAGCTGGCCGCCAGCCAGGAGCCGTGAAGCCAGGAGGAGAGCGACAGTGAGCCAGCCCAAGGCCCACGTGTTTGGTTTTTATACCCAACCTGGCTGCCCAACTCCACCCTCAGGTCCCAGCCACCCTCCCTTTGGTGGTGATGGGATTTGTCTTTCCCAGAGTCCTGATGGCTTTAGTCTGGAGTGGGGGTGGGGTCCACAAAGCCTGCATGGGGTTAGCTCAGGACATCCTTTCCCCCTAACAATTACTCACAAATACTCTGACAACACTGGGAATTCCTAGCAGCTATTCCTTCCTGCAGTTCAAAATTGCTTGGCTGTGCGCAGAGGTGACTGGGATCATGTCAGTGTGTCCCTCTAAACCCAAATTAAATGTCATCGGAACTCAGCCAGCATCCTTATCTAAATCCCTAACTGAATTCCTAATTCCCTTAACTAAATTGCCCTTGGCCATTCTGATACCATGCGGCCAAGGGGAAGTGTAATAGGGAAGTCGGAGTGGGAAGAAATAGCAGAAGGGAAGTGGGATTAGGAAGGAACAGCAGTATTAAGTGCTTGCAGTTAAAATAGCCCACCTTTGCACATTTTACAGAACCAGATGACCAAGGGACCAGGGGCTGGGCCCCCACGGGGTGTGAGAACTCGGGCTCTGCAGGCCCCGAGGTGGCTCTGCCTCTGTGAGTGGCCCTTCACACAGGCTCACTGCCTCCCGGGCTTCAGACGGCAGATGCAGCTCCCGCACGGCTCCGGGAGAGCAGGGAGAAGGCCGAACACCAGGCCTGCAAGTCTGCTCCATCTGGTAGCTCTTCTTGCCTCTTCCTGGTCAGATCCGGTCACATGGCCCTTGGCTGCAAGGGAGTCTGGGGAGGCGAACATTTTTCAGTAGACACATTTCTGTGCCAACAAAATCAGAGTTCTGTGGGTCACGAAGGAGAGAATGTGGCTACCGAGTCAGCAGGCCTGCTTCCGTTCCCAGGTTACTTTTTACTGGGAGACAGGTATCTTATGGGCCCGTCCTTTCTAAGGAAAATTCATGCGACTTCATAACTTGTCATCATTTTGTTAAGTGATTCAACCAATACTCAGTAGCTTATAAAGGGGAAATGTGTTCTCTACCTCGAGTGGCATATGTTGACCACCTTTTACCAGTTTACTGAGTAAATTGCATTCAGCTAAATCATATGCTGCCCCTTTTATTTTTTACTGTGCTTAAATATGCTGCATATTTTAGTAGCAGAACGCTCTTTCAAAGAAAATTTCCATCTGTAACCGATGAAAGCTGACTTCCTCTGGAATGAGCAAGGCAGGTGCCACGAAACTACCTCTGTTCTCTCCCAGCAACCCCTGAGCTTTTCTGCAGAACTTAGTGTAAACACAGATTGTTGAACTGGATGCCTGTAAGAGCTTTCCATCCCCCAAAAGGCTCTTTTGCAGCTGAGGGGCCAGAAAGGGGCCTGGAGGCCTTGTGGCCCCTACGGCTCAGCATGCGCACAGCAGGCTATGGGGTAAGCAGGAAACAGGCCTCAGGAGCACAGCTGCACTCAGAGGCTGGGCCCTGCACACTTCACCCTCCCCACCAAGGTCCTTCCTCAGGCCCTCTGATAGCACACTGGGCAGCTCTGACTCAGCACCCTCCCGCACTGGGGAGGAAAAATACCCCCACCCACCTACAATTACTTGAAGGCTTCTGACGTCTCAGGAGATGTGAGGCTGACTGGCTTTTGCAGAGTCTGAAGCCCCTCAAATATAAGGGATGTCCTCTGGGAAGGACTTGGGGGTGAGCTGGGAGGACAGTGGGGCGAGGAGGAGGCAGAGGGCTGGCAGTGGACTGGAAAGGGCCACATGCTGTCTCTGCTTCCCCAGCAGCCTAAGCCAGGCTGCATGGCCCTCAGTGGAGAGATCCAAGTTTCGGTCACATTCGTCGCCCTCAGGCACCACTGGAAGGTGTACTCACAGCATTGGGAAAGTACAGTTAAAACACCCTGCTTCCCAGAACTTCACAAGGAACGTGAAGGTGTTGTAGAGCAACTCCGATACAAAACGGGGTACCTGACTGTGGGTCCTCACCCGCGCGCTTGAAAGGACTTATCCATGCTCTACTGCAGGCACACGCGAAAGGTTCATAAAAGGTTTATTTACAAGGGAAGGGGAAATGAGGAAATGTACACCTCTGGGAGAAAAGTGGGAGACAAAGTTTTCAATGAGTCCTACCCGATCCGCCGATCAGGAATCCCAAAATGGCGCTCTCAGAGTTGGCCGCCAGCCAGGAGCGGTGAAGCCAGGAGGCGAGCGATCGCGAGCCAGCGAGAGAGCCCAAGGCCCACGTGTTTGGTTTTTATACCCAACCTGGCTGCCCAACTCCACCCTCAGGTCCCAGCCACCTTCCCCTTGGTGGTGACCGGATTTGTCTTTTCCAGTGTCTTGATGGCTTTAGTCTGGAGTGGGGGTGGGGTCCACAAAGCCTGCATGGGGTTATCTCAGGACATCATTTCCCCCTAACAAAGGGAGTGGAGACTACATGTTAGTTCTTACTTGGGAAACTTAATTGTGCTCTATTTCCTTCAAGAGGGCCAAGGCTACCCACCTTCTCTCCTCCTGCCTTTTCCCTTCACACTCCCTTCCATCCAGCCCAGCCCCCCTTACCTGTGCTGGTTGGGCCCTACCTGTCCCCTCCAGCCTGGGGCTATACCCTCAGCACAGGTGAAGCCCACTGGCTCCCTCCCATACCTCAAACAGGAGATAGATCCAAATAACTTCTCAGCAAAAACCAAGAAATTAAAGATATATTTCCATATAAGCTGGGGGGAAACCCTACTTTGAAAGAATTATCGATCCAGAGGAAGTTGAAAAGGCAGTACAGAGGAGTCCCGCACCCCCTGGAAAGTTTCCAGGTGACCGCCCAGAGCAAGGTCTGCAGCAGGACCTGGAAACAGAAGTCGGTGCTATCCACAGACTGCTCCAACCTCACCTGTTTACAGCGACTTCCTTTTTTAAAGATTTATTCTTTTATTTACTTATGCATACAAGAACTGGGGTACAGGCCAGAGGTGGGGGGGCGAGTGAGAGGATTCACCAGAGACAGTGGGGAACAGAACATGCAGATTGACTGAAGTACACTGCTGAGGGGAGCAGCGGGCGAGTCAGGAGAGGTCTGCTGCGCCATGTGGGTAGCTCCCTGGCCAGGGATCCAACTCATGCCACGGTGGCTGGTGATAGCTTGGTTAGGCTGAGACTTAACCCTTGCGCCACCAGGGAGGCCCCTCAGCAACTTCTTTTGCAAATACTTTTTCCTAACTATTAACATACTACAGCCATATTACAGAAAACTTGGAAAATAGGGAGGAGAGAAAGGATTCTGGGTTCTGCTATTTTGTGTGGTCACCGCAGTCAGAGGGTTCATTTCCTTCCAGTCTTTGTGGGTGCTTTTAGGATAATTGAAAGCACCATACATGTACAATATTATAACCCCATTTGTAGTTAGTGTTTTAAATAAACATCATCATAAGCTCTCCTTTATCATTGTAAATGGCCATATGATACTTCAAATGACTCTGCCCTCTTTTACATAATTATTCCCCTATTACCAGACACTTAGGTGGTTCCAGTTTTACTCTATACTAATTTTGTAACATTTGTTAATTATTTCCATTTTTTTTTTTTTAAAGATTTATTTATTTATGCATGCAAGAGCTGTGGTACAGGCCAGAGGTGCAGGGGCTGGGGAAGGGGGGAGCGGGGGAGGGGGGGAGAGAAGAGTCACCAGAGACAGAGTGGGGAGCAGAACAGGCAGACGGACTGAAACACACTGCTGAGGGGAGCAGCGGGGAGACAGGAGAGGTCTGCTGTGCCACGTGGGCTGCTCCCTTGCCGGCCAGGGATCGAACTCGTGCTGCAGAGGCTGTGGATTGCTTCATTGTGTTGTGCTTAACCCCTTGTGCCACCAGGGAGGCCCTATTTGTTAATTATTTAACATTTTCCGTATTTTGGATTCTTCACTAAGATTTATATCCAGGACTATGAACATTTTTAGGATTCCTGCTATAAAATGCCAAATTACTTTCCAAACGAGCTGTGTCAGATTTCGTGCCACTAACATTTTAAACTCTTGCCAGTGGTGTATGAGATCGTTTCTTTAATTGTCTCTCATTTAATAGTTGAAAACTGATAATGTCTGTGTAAAGTTGTGGATTCGAACTGTCAGAAAAGTTGGTTTTCTCTTGTTTACTGGTGATATTTTCTATTCCATGTCTTACTTGATTTGTAAGAGCTCTTTATTAATGAAAATGTTAACCTTTAATCTGTTAAAGTTGCTACAAATATTCCCAGTTTGTTGTTTGCCCATTGATTTGATTTAAATTTATATATACCATGTATGAGAATATGTTGATTTTTTTTAATGCAACCTTATCTCTCCTTCCCTTTTCTGCTTTTCACTTTCCATTTTCAAAACTCAGTCCTCTCCAGAAGATTCAGCAGCTTTCTGTATTCAACTGCTTCTCCTTTTTCCATGGTTTGATTTTTTTTTTTTTAATTTATAACTGTTAAGTGGTATAATATACAAACCAGAAGGAGATTTCCCCGAAAATTTCTGTTGGTGGATAATCTGTACCATGATCCTTCCTCGCTTATCTGCAAAACCTCTTGTTAATCTAGTTTAAGGAAGTGTTAAATTCTACCTCTGTCAACTCTCAAGTAGATGATTTCTAGAGCCCTGTTCCCTCTTCCCTCCCCCCAGATCATGACCAACACGGGGAAGATGAGGCGGAAGGGCCTGGCCAGTGTGCAGTGGAGCCGGGACGAGCCCCTGCGCCGGCCCGTCACCCCCAGCGGCCACAGGACGGGGTGCCCAGTGTAAGTCGGGCGTTTGGAGGTGGGGTTGAGTTTCTTGAGCTTTGTTCTGGTTGACTGCAGTGTAAGACGCGTGTATCTTAAAATCCTAAATAAAACATTAATAGTGAAAAGCATTTATCTCTTCATTGTTTATCATTTGAGGATTTTTAGAGGGAAAGAGGTTGAGTCTCCCTTCCCCCTCCAAGTGAAGTGGTTGGACTCAGGGTCTCCAGGGCCACTTCCGGCCTCTGACTAGGAGAAGCCAAGTATTGGCCAATGTCATTCCGAAAGAAAAGACTCTTACTCTTTTCTGCAGCCTCTCCTGGTGGCACCAGGCACTTTTTTTTTTTAAAGATTTATTTATTTATTTATTTATTTACACAAGCACTGGGTACAGTCAGAAGCGCGGGAGGGTGAGAGAATTCACCAGAGCCAGAGCGGGGAGCAGAACAGGGAGAGGGACCAAAGTACACTGCTGAGGGGAGCAGCGGGCGGCAGGAGAGGTCTGCGCGCCATGTGGGACCCTCGCCCGGCGGCCGGGGATCGAACCGGCACTGCAGAGGCTGCAGGCAGCTTCGCAGGCCAGCACTCAACCGCCACGCCACCAGGGAGGCCCGGCACCAGGCACTTTGTTGGGATTGGGGTGTCAGTTTAAGATGCCAAGTCAACATTTTTAGATGAGTATTTCAAGAAATTATGTGCATTTTGAGCTATTCTGCCTTATTCATCCTTCATAACTTTGCTCTACGCTTCTTACATATACAGAACTGGAGTCTGGTTACCCACAGCCTCTGGTCTCCCTGGGCACCTGGGCCCAAGCAGCTCTGTGGTTCCTGAGGGAGTCCCAGGCTGGGCAGGCCAGGCCAGAAGCCTCTTCTGTGGCTGGGGGGCGGCGGTGGGGGGAGGTTCCTCTCTTTTCCTGTCTAGAAAGATCACTGGAGAGAGAGAGGTGCAAACCAGGGAGTAAAGATTACAGGCAAAAAACCTACAGCTAGTCACTCAACAAATACTGGCCATAATATATTTCAAGTGGATCGACCTATTTTACTTAGTTATCCCCTTCACCTGGGCGATTTGGTTGTTTCCAGTTTTACTCTATGATAATTTGGACATGAACAGCCAGTCGCTGGAGATAGAGCAACCAACAAAGGGAAATACCCAAAGAAATGGTGGAGATGTACCCCAAGGCAGGGGACGACAGAGCCCCCACACCCAGCTCCTGCCTCGTCCTGTCACCCCTCTGGGACCTGACCAATGACATGGATTTATATTTAGAGACTGAGTCATGGACTTCAGCGCTGGGAGTGTTTGACTTGATTTCAGAGCTCATCATCCCATGCTTCATATTTCAGGGCTTTTAGTCTTACTGTTTTCTTAATGTATGCGTACAAAAGCTGGGGTGTAGACCAGAGGTGCAGGGGGTGAGAGGATTCACCAGAGACAGAGTGGGGAACAGAACAAGTGAACTGGCTGAGATCCACTGCTGAGGGGAGCAGCGGGGAGACAGGAGAGGTCTGCTGCGCTGTGTGGGTTGCTCCCTGGCGGGGGATCGTGCTGCAGTGGCTGCCGATAGCTTCGTAGTGCTGAGACTTAACCCCTGTGCCACCAGGAAGGCCCTGGCTTTTAGTTTTAATTACTAATATACAAACTGAGAACATATCTTTACCCCCTAAACCTACAGAAAAGTTTTTAATCTACAGAAAAGTTGAAATCTGTTGCAATGAAGAGCTTCCCTTAATGTCTTGCCACACTTGCGCCCTTTCTCACTGTGTGAGTGATGCAATTACACACATAAGCGTTTGTTTCTGCTGAGCTGCCTGAATAAAAGTTGCAGAGTGAAATATTACAGTGGTTATAACTAGACAGCAGCCACTAGAAAGCGTGTCTATAAATAGCCTTCTGAATGGAAGTACTAACAGGAGTCAATAAAATTCATCTTGCTTGAAATGAGAACGAGGACACCAAATGGTGATTTTAAAAGATTATTTTAAGATTCTATCTTAAAATTGTTCAAACCCTGGCTTCACAGAGAGGCAATAATGACCTGAGGATGTTTGATCGGAAATAAAGACAAAGGACTCTGATAAATATGAAATCTAACCTGTGGGCACAGCTCCTCCTTGGGCCAGACCTTCTGCGTTGTAGCGAGAACAGACATGTTCCACGCCTGGGTGGGGGGGCTGTCCCCCAACTACAGCAAGTGGTCCTCGCAGGGAGGGCGGCACCTCTTTCTTCTGAGGCTATGGGTGTTCCCGCTCTGACGAAGCCATTGCCCATCCCAGCCCCTTCCACTGAGGCAGTTCAGCAAGTTCCGCCCCCGCGGTGGGCTGGGTCCTAGGATGCGGAATAAAGCAAGTCACGCTTCTCCACGCACGCTGGGCAAGTCGCTGGGAGGGGAGGGACACGGTCATCCAATGCGCGTGGGTGATGGAGGGTCCAGGGGCGCTTGGGGCAGCCTCTTAAAGACCTTTCTATGACTCTCCATTCGCAACAGCGCCTCATAACCCAGAGTTGCGAGTGGCTGAATCGGGAATCTCCGTGGCCTTGGAGACACCGACGGCGTCACACACCCAAGATCCTAGTGCTTTTGGGATCAGTCATTCCACCTCTGCTAGGGTCGTAGTCTGAGAAGTTTCCCGGGCAGCCATACAGGGGTATTTATTTCTGCAATATTTATGAAAGGAGAAATCATCTAAAGGCCCAAAGCCGGGGGCTGGTTACATAATTATATATCCACACACGCGCCATCGGGAATGATGTTTTAGAGGAACAGTGACTGCTTGGAAAGAGCCTCGGGATATATTGCTTAGAGAAAGAGTAAATTATAGAACAATGTGGACCCAGGCCACTTAGGGTGACCCCGGGCTGTAGGTTTGTTTCAAGCATATATTTGCATTTCAGAGAAGAGGGAAAAACTATCACGTGTTGGTAGTGGTTGAGTCCAGGTATGGGGAGGGCAGAACACTCTCTAAATTCTATACATCGTCCAGATTTTTCATGATAAACACTGGTTTTATAGTCAAGAAGAGAAAGGTTGAAAATAAAACGTACAGTCGCCCCCATGCAATGCAGGGATCCCCTCACCCCAGCCTCAGATGCCTCCCCCCCCCACCTCCCCTCTGCCCAAGCCTCCCCCACTGTGGGATCTCACCCCCTCGCCTCCCATCTCTGTGTGAACTTGCTCTATCTCTTGCTGCCTCCTCTGCTCTGTCTTTGCCCTCCCTGCCTCCTGCCTTCCTTCTGGGCCTTTTCACCCTCCAGCCTCCTCACCCTCCAGCCTCTCTGGCTACTTCCCTCCCTATCTGCCTCTCCCATCGTAGCCCACATGGTCTGGTGGAAACCGTAAGGATAGAGCAGCCGTTTTAAGAGCTTAACGGACAGTGAGGCTGCAATTCCTGGAATCCGAGATTCTGAGAACCGGCGTCTGTAGCCATTAGATTCCCCCAACAGTCGGATTCCTAGAATCCACATCTGAAGCTGTCAGGTTACCCAAGGGGCCTGTTCTGTAGGCCTATTTAAACTGCTTAATCTTAGTGCTCGGGGTCCAACCCTGTCTGGGCGCGGCCGCTGTGTCGGTTCCACTCCGGGGGTTCGGACCCTAGCTCGGGCTAGCTAATAAAGGCCTCCTTTGCTTTTGCATCCAACTTGGGTCTCGGTCGTTCTTGGACTCGGCGCCGGTGTGCTCTAACGGAAACCTCAAGGTATTGCTGCCTTGGCCGGGGTGACCTTGGAGTGTCTGACCCTAGAGGACATCAGCATCTCTCCAGGTCGCTGTGGGGGCCGCCCTCCTCCGGGGACTCCCCCGCCATGTCCACTGCCACACGCGGACAGGCCTGGCAGAACACAGCGTCTTTTTAGGAGGAAGCCCTCTTCCTCCTAAGACGCTGTGTTCTGCCAGGCCTGTCCTGTGTGTTCTCCGGTTTCCAGTGCACCATATCCCAAGTGCCAGAGGCGTCCCCACAGCACCCCCCAATTCAGCATTTCCTAGATGGACACCTTTGCCTTCTGAGCCACTGTTTCAGGGAATGGTGTAAGGCCCCTGGACGCCTGACCTGGAATTGCACCCCATGACCTCAGGTCCCCGCTTTCCCACCTGTTCTAGCTCTGCCCCTTTTCCCCGGCCGCCTCTGGAGCATTTTTCTCCCGGAGCCCTGAGAGAGACCCCATACTCGTTCCCCTGCTGCCCCCACCCTCCCCAGCCACTGACAGGGCAGTGGGCCTAGCCCACCGCGAATTGTGACCAGTTTCCCCTAGGGGACGAGAGTCTAACCAAATCCCCCTCGCCGCCCCTCAGCCCTGGGGTCCCAGGGCTTTAATTTTTCAGTGACAAAGTGATGTACTTTTCTGCCTCTCCCCTGGCTCCTGGTGTGGGCTCTGCTGGAAACGTCCCCTTTGGGCCCAGGTGGCCCCAGCCCAGAGCTCAGGGCTTGCCCAGAGCCACATTTCCACCCCAGCCTTTCCTGGCCCCTCAGGGGGCGAAGTGCCCCTCTGGCACTAACATTAGGGGGCAGGTTTGCCTTGCACTGTCCCCCCCAGGCCCTGGCTGGAGCAGGCGGCCGGTGCCTCCTCGTTGAAGGGAGAGCCAGAACTTTCCTCGGGATCAGTTGTAAAAACTGGACAGGGCCACTTCCCACCCCCAGGGCTATGCACTGGCCTGGGGCCCCTGCGCCTTCTCTTAGATGATGGAGTCTCCGGCCCCGGCCCCACCCCCCAGGTGCACACATGAGAAATACGTGTGCCATGTTGGTTCACAGGGAGTAAGCTCCTCCTGGTCCTGTCTCTGTCTAACGCTTGCTGTGGCTGACCTGCCCTGGCCTGTCTCTTCTGACTTATTCTCCTTCACCGCCCTTGGAGACGAAACCAGGAGATTTGTTTGGTTGCAATGTCAAGCTCCCGGGTCACCGCAAGCTAAAAGATGCCATTGCCGTTGTGTGTCACAAAGACGCAGAACCAGGTATCGTGGCAGTGTATAGGCAGTAACACCGGTGAGGTAAGGCGCTTCCCAGCCGCTGCCCAGGCCCTTAAAAAGATTTAAAAGCTGGGCCTCCCCTGGTGGCGCAGCTGTTGAGCCCTGGGTTGCGAGGCTGCCTGCAGCCTCCGCAGCACCAGTTCAATCCCCGGCCACCGGCAAGGGTCCCAAAAAAAAAAAAAAAGAAAGAAAGAAAAAGATTTAAAAGCTGCCAATATCATTTAGCAAAAGCATTTCAGGTGTTTCCACTTCCTGTATTTGTATTGGATGCTACTTGGTCATCAGTCGCCAACTGTCTCCTCCTATCTGTATTTATTGCTGTTTTCATGTTTCCTTCCAGGCCGGAAGACCATCCCTTCTCTCTCCAGATGACTGGACATGCCAGGAACGGCTACCTCTCGTGCCTGTCCAATGCCCACCTTCCTGCCTCCAAGGGGGCCGAGCCTGGCGTGTCTGAGCCTCGCGGCTCCTCTTCAGGTAAGAACGTGGGCAGCCGAGGGGGTCCGCTCTGGGGCTGGTGAGGCCCAAAATGTAGTGAGCAGGAGTTCCCCACTCAGAGAGGCCTCACCTGCCCATTGTCGGCCTGGAGCCCTGACCTGAGCTGGGCTTGGGGCTTAGAGGCCTGGGGCCTGCCGAACACGGCCTGGGGAAAGCCATGATCAGTGGGAGGTTTCAGAGTAGGCGTCTCAGAACAATGTCACTCCACGACCAAAGCTTCCCGACGTCAGATTCTGGGATGAGGTGGTGAGCCGCAGGCGAGAGGCCGATGGAGTCCAAAGTGCGTGACCAGGGGCAAAAACAACTCTGGAATCCTAACGTGTGCCCAAGCCGCCAGTTGAGTTCGCCAGAGACTGGTGGAGGACATAAGTTATATTGGTTTTTTTTTTTTTTTTTTTCAGATAGGAAAAATTTTATATGTTTTCAACAGAAAGTATTTTTTTTTTTTTTCAAGAGGAAATGAAAGGGATGTGAGCAGGCCGGATAAGACTCTAATCTCCATTCAAATAGGAAAAAGCAAGAGAGGAGCAGGTCAGATTCCAGGATGAGACACAACCTAGAGCCTTAACAACCTGCGCACGGTTGGGTTCCGAGGCTCCCGGCCCCGCGATGGGGGGAGTGGAAAACAGGGTCACTTGGGGCTGGGGGTGAGGGTCTCTGGATAAACAGTGCAGAGTCTTGCCAGCTTTGATCATCTCTTACTTTACATGTGTCTTATAAGAGCTGGAAACACGATGTACCTTCCAGGGGTGCTAACAGTTTCTGCCAACTTGACCTGTTGCCATGGAGATAAAAATGATTTGGAGTTCTGTAAGCCTGGACTTGCATAAAGTTGTATTCAGGGTCCCATGTGTTAGCAACATGCTTGTTTTACCCCCATGGCAGCCCTCTGGCTTGTCCTGGCAGTGGGCCTCGCCCTGTCTTGGGGTGAGCCTTGAGCTTGTCCTGAATAGTCACTGCTGAGTAGCAGCTGTTGCTGCCTATGTTGATGTTACAGTTATTTTCTAGAACAACTGATTTTCAACCTGACCAAGTCAAGGCCTTAGGAAATTCTGGTTCCTCTCAGAGCACTAAGAGTGGGTGCCCACCAGGGGACTCAGCCTGGCGGTCACCAGTGCCTCTTCCTCAGAGGCGGCAGCTGCACCCCAGCCCTCCAGGATGACCTGGTGCCTCGTCACACTGTCAGGTACATCCCGCCAGTCTGCTCCCGGTCGAGGCCACAGTCCTCGTGTCCCCGTGTGCATCCTGGTGGGGGCCCCAACTCCCACTCTGCCCATCAGCTCGCCTGTGGCCTCGGTGGACTCCAGAACACTGACTACTCAGCCCTCACTGCTCCTGCTAGAGACCCACATAGTACCTGCTGTCCCCCACCTGCCAGGCTTTTGTCAGCCACGGGTCAGCACCCTCGTATCCCCTTTAAATCCTATCGCCACCCAGTTTGAGAAGGGACCTCGTTCTTGGCTTGGCCGGGAAAGAACTCAAAGCCATTTCCAAGCAAAGCAAAGTGTGATTTAGCGACTCGGCATGGTCCGAGCAGGCACAGTCCAGAGTGCACAGGCAGAGTGGCGGGGGACGCCTGCAGGCATCTGCTCACTCAGTCTCTTTCTGGGGTGTACTGCGCAGGTTTTCCCAGGGTGGTCTTTTGTCAGTCTTGGCAGGTTGGGGTGGGGGCTACCTCCCCCCACTAGGCACTTCTCCCTCTCCCCAGGCTTTATAGCCCCTTCAGGTTTTTCCTGGCGCCCTGGACACAGTTGGCCATTGATTTTCTGTAGGCGCCGCTCTCCTGCCCTAACAGCCTAAGACCTCTGCTTGGCAAACTGTCCTCCCCGTGGAGAAGCCAGGCCTCCAGGCAAGCGCCGATTCTCCTTCTGGTGCCAACGTGGTTCTTCCTCCTACCTCTGTCAGACTTGCCCAGCTGCAGCCCCTGGCCCCTCGTCTCCTCTGCAGGCCCGCCAGCTCCCCAGTGTTCCCCCACCTCCGTCTCATCCTCTTCTCACCCGCCCTCCACACGAGGGATGGACACAGGCTTCGGGATTTGTGCCTGGAGGGCTGTGTGGACGCGTTCTGAGGCTCAGCACTCAGAGTGGATGAGCAGGAGGCGGAGAGGAGCCGGGGCTGTGGGGTGTCGGGGGGAGGTGCGGGGGGCACCCTGATGCTCTCTGTCTGCTGTTTCACTCCTTCCCTGCTCAAGGGCCTGACCCCGCTGCCTCTTTGTCCTTCCACCCTAGAGTCTTGCTTCTTCAGCCCTTTCTTCCCCCATGTGCCCCCTGCTCACCGTCTCCCCGTCCCCATCCGGCCACATCCAGCTGCACCCCACAGGCCCCCTCGCAGCCGGCCTTACTACTGAGGTCGGCTCCTGGCTTCACTCATGCTGGGAGCAAATGCCCCTGCAGACCCGTGGGAGGCGCCGCCACGGCCCACCCAGCGGTCCAGGGAGCCCCTCACACCTGCACATTCAGTGGTGCTAAGGGTAGGACCTCGGGTGGGGGCCCCGGGATCCTCCAGCAGCTTGAGAGGCTGGATTGAGGGAAAGTAATCTCAGCGCCACAGACCCAGACGGAAATCGTTCCCGAGGGAAAAAACCAAGACCATTACTTAGAATTTTGCAAGACCTTGGCCCAAGGGAAGTTATTCTCATTTCACCTTGGCCAGACTCTCTGGGATTTCAAAATCACATGCCTTGTCAGTGGACCCAGGAGGTTCAGGGCACAGCCCTGTCCAAAGCAGGCCGGCAGGTGGAAAGCAGTGTCCGGGGAAGCCTCAGGCGCCTGCCCGCTGTCCTTCTCCGCCCAGCTCCCGGTGCTTCCTGAGGCTGATTTCTGGTGCCATTTCTGAGTATCCGGGGTGGCAGAGGAGGAAGCGGGGAACAGGGGTGGTAACTGCTGTTAGGTCTCAAGGAGCTCAGCTTAGTTGCCCCCATCGGCACCCGGAGGACCGTCCCACCTGCCCGGGAAAGCTACAGATGCTTGAAGGCGGCCAACTCTCCCCCCGCCCCCCGCCATCATGGTGACGCCATCACGTGCTGGGCCTCTCCCCTGTGTAGCCCTGCGCTGTGTGTGGTTCCGCTCAGCTGTCATCTCCTGCACCCAAGTTTTGTCTCCTGGGCCGTATATAAGCCAGCTGGGCAGAGCGCACAGGCAAGTTGTCCACTGAAGGATGACACGAAGATCTGGTCTTGGTGGACACTGGTGTGGATTGTAAATAAAGCCATCCGTGGGTTCTGAACCCAAAATAACTGCCTTGTTTGGGTTAAAAGAGTTACCTGGAAGCGGCAGTGGTGCAATGCTGCAGACACCGGCAGGGGAGAGTCTTTCCGAGAGGAAGCAGAGGTGATGTGGCAGAGGGCTGCAGAGATTCTTTAATGAAATTGCTGAAGGAGGTTGGGTTAAGAAGCGGGGAAGTCAGTGTAGCCCGGCAGTGCCCCAGGCCCCTGGGCTGTAGGTGAAGAGGAGGAGAAGACAGTGGAGCCTGGGCGGAGGGGTTACCGCATTTGAAACAGACTAGATCAACCCCCCCCCACCCCCCCCCACCCCCCCCACCCCCCGCAAGCACTCCTCTGTGGTGTCGTCTGGGGTTCCTGTCACTTCCCGGAAGCTCCCCGGGGTGACTGCAATGCCCAGGGCTGGCCATGCATGTCAGCACAAGCTCTGCTAGTTGGGAGGAAGGGCAGGCTGAGAGACTCAGGCCTGAGGGAGTGGGGCAGATCCAGGTGAGGAGCGCCCAGCCTGGGGTTGTCACGTTTAGAAAACAGAGGCACCCAGCTAAGTTTGAATTTTAGATAACAAATGATATCTCCGTGGGCTCCTGTGCAGCGCTGCCAAGCAGCAGCCCTGGGACAGTCCTCTCTGTTTCAGCTCTTTGCAGAGAGGCCTTGGGGCCAAAATCTGTGCTCCCCTGGGCTGCGCCTGTCCCAGCTGCAGCCAGCCGGGCCTCTGGGTCATAAGGACAGCCAGGCTGCCTGGGAAGCTCCCAGCTATTCCAGGGACAAGTCCCAGAAAGGCCCAGTTGGTGCTTTCTTTGCCTTTGTCCAGCCAAGAGCACCTGCAAAGGGTTCCAGAGCAGAAGTCGACTGGGCTCTCTCTCCTCCCCAGCTGCTGTCCTCACCAAGCCTGGAGCGTGGTTGCCAGTGGGACGTCACGGGGAGCCACACCTGCCCGCCTCGGGGCCCCACATCCAGCAGAGGGAGGTGCCCCGACCCCCAGGCAGTGGAGAGACCACCAGGTGGGTATGGGCAAGTGTCCTGAGGCCTCATCTGCTGCTGCAACAGCGGCCTCCAGGCCTCAGAGCACAGAGGCAGAGTGTCCAGGGGACCTGGGGGCGCCACTTGGAGGCCTGCCTCTGACACGGAGTATTTCCACAGGCCTGGTAACCCTGTGTCAGCACAGGGAGGGGCCTCCGTGCAGGCCTTTCTGACAGAAAAGGCAAGTGCATTCGTCATGCCTGCTGTTGAGCTGGGAGTGGCAGGTTCACACCTCAGCTGAGGGCACAGCTGGCCTCGGCCAGACCAGGGTTCATCAACAGCAGGACAGTGGGGATCAGATGAGACAGTGGGAAAGTGCGGCCTAAAGCCACCCGCCCCTGCAGACACGCCCCTCCACTGTGTAGCAGGTCGGGGCACCCTCCTGAAATGGGAGGTTCGCGTGGAAGCTCTCAGGGGTGGCCCAGAGCTGAGCCTGGGCCCCTACTGCCTTCACGCCTGCTGCCCACATCTCCACCAGGCCAAACATGCCCTCCGGGCCAGCGCCATTTCCTTTTTCTCCCTGCAAATGCCACTAGGAACAATCTCCCTCCAGAAATCCTAATAAGGACCCCCAAAGACTCTCTTCTTAGAAGAGAAGTGGGGTTGCCCCTCTAAGTCAAACCATGAGTGACCTCACCTTAATGCCAATGGCTTCAATTCCACTCTTGGGGGTGGGGGTGGGGAAGCCCCGGGGGGCTCTATTTGAGGAAAAGAAGGATAGAAAAAAAGGGAAAATTATTTCCCCCCACAACTCCCCCACTGGCTAGCTGACCTTTGCCTAGAATATTCCTTCCCCACCCCACGTCTCAGCTCAGCATCATTTCCTCCCGCTGACCCCAAAGTCCTGGCCGCACTGCGGCCACAGCACCCTCACACAGCACCGAGGCCTGTGAAGCCACGAGGCCCATGACTGTCTCCCACTGTCTTCAAAGAGGGCACCATGTGTAAGGGGCTCGGTCTGTCCCTGTGACCCTGCATCTGGCCCAGAGCGGGCCCTGGTGATTCTTGTTTCGCCCCCTAGCTCCCTGCTCTTGGCCTCCAGGGTGAGGACAGACCTTTGTCCCAGAGCCTGTGGTTTGGGTAAATGACAGGCTGGGCCGATATTACTCGCTGCGAAACTGACTTGGAAATGGTTTCAAGATAATTGCAGGCCCAGCGCCAACCCAGTGACTACCAGCTGCTAGTCTTGCTGTGAAATTTCCTCCCCAGAAATCAGGGAGCAAAAGGTTCATACCCCATCATCCTACTGCCCCCTCCCCCACTGCACCCAATGCCAAGTTCTCCTTTATCTTTTTTCAGTCTGCTTCTTAGAAGCCTTAGCATTGAGTAGCTGGGGAGAGATACTATTAACCAGGCTTAAAAATTCATTTACTTAAAGAAGAAACAAAATAAACAGCATTTATCCTTTAAAAAGCCAAGGTGAGGGCCTCCCTGGTGGTGCAGGGGGTTAAGTGTCAGCACAGTGAAGCTATCACCAGCCACTGAAGCACAAATTAAATCCCCAGCCAGGGGTTAGCCAGGGAGCTACCCACATGGCACAGCAGACCTCTCCTGCCTCACCAGCTGCTCCCCTCAGCAGTGTGTTTCAGTCGATCCACCTGTTCTGCTCCCCACTGTGTCTCTGGTGAATCCTCCCACCCCCCACACCTCTGGCCTGCACGCCAACTCTTGTATGCATAAATAAATAAATCTTTTTTTTTAATAAATAAACAAAAAGCCAAGGTGCCCCGCCCCACACCCCACGAATTCAGGCAGTCCCGACTCAAGGGCTGACTGCCTCTTGGACCAGGCAGGGCCTGGATTCCAGGCGTGGCTCCAGGAAGGTTCAGGTCACACTGCCCAGCCCAGCCTACAGGCCACGTACCGTCTGCCGGTGGGCCCTGGGCGTGGCCGCCCGGAGGAGCCCAGCTGGCTGGAGAGGGCATCTGCCTGGAAGACAATCAAGGAAATGGGTCTCGCCCGCACACAGTCCCCTGCTGGGGCCAGTGGCACATGGGTCATGGTGCCCATCCTGCCACAGACAGGAAGCAGGACTCTGCTGGAAGCCTTGTGGCTTCTGAGAAAATAAGGAAGAGATTTAACATCTCTGTGCATATATGCTTCCCTCCCGCCATACTCATCCCACATGACAGACACAGCGCGTTCAGCTAAAAAAGCTACAAACTTTGACAGAAAAACAGAAAGAAGCTTCAAACTGAGAACAAGGAGGCCGGGGAGGTGGCACGGATAAGGGGTGAACGCACCCCGGCGTGTGGCCGGGGCCAGCTTTGCCTGGCAGGCTCTTCTTCCTCGGCCCGGGCCCAGCCCCTCTCTGGCTTGGTTGCAGCCAAGACGAAGGGCACCCACGACGACAAGAGGCGTAGGAGCCCCCGGGAGCGCCTAAGGGACCCCCCTTAGGGAGCCCCTGAGCACCTCTGTCTGTACCTTAATACAAGTGGTGGCTCCGAAGAGCCGCGGGACCCCGGAGCCTCTGCTGCGGGGCCTGTCCGCTGGGGATTATGACTCAGCAGCCAGGCTGGCAGCAGTAAAGACTGAGTATCTCCAGGGCCTTTTATTGCGCTTCCTTTCCCAAGCAATGTTCCTGTTGATAAGCAGAGATACTATAAGCTACTGGTGCTTTCCCCGTCAGTAACTTCCTGTCTCATTGGCCACCTCCCGTTTTGCACCTACACTGAGATTGACCCATTTTCTCACCCCAGCACCTGGCGTGCCTACGGCAGATTGCTTTCCTAGGTCATCAGTGAGGCCGCCCTGATCTTTCATCCCACGTTCTTGCCAGGACAGTGCCCGTGGGCACCCATCAGGCTTGAAAGGGGTGTCATCCTCCTGTGCCCCGACCCTACCCTACTGTGACGTCAGCGTGCGCATTCTGTTCCAGGGAATGTTCAGCTGCCCTCGCCTGCAAGCCACGGGCGCTCCGCACCCCGGAAATCCTGGACCTGAACACACCCAAGGCCAAGGCGTCGGCTCTCACCCCTCAGTTCTCGTCCTATGGCCCTCAGCCAGCCAGCCGCCCCGGCTCCACAGCGTCCTCCACGAGGGGCCTGCATAGTAAGTCCTGGCGAGAAAGCTTCCCACTCGGACCCCCGCTCCTCCTGTGCCCGCCAGGCCCACGGGAAAGGCCTGCTCCCCTTCCCTGAAGGACCAGCCCCTTGCTGGCAGTTTGCTTTGGCCTAGGGGCCAGTTCTTGGTTAATCCTTCTATTTTTAAATTGCCCTTGGCCTCAGTAGCCCATACACAAGCTGCTGGAGTGAGACCCTCCAGGCAGGGCCTTTCTGAGATAAGATCCCCTCTGTGGGGCCACCGGGGTCAGCCCTGAAGCTGTGTCCCTACTCTCCCTACTGGGCCCAGCAGCTGCTCAGGCCTCCGAAGAACCAGACAGAAGCAGGTTCCTCCTTCAGGCAGGGTGGAGGGGTAGAGGGATGACGGTGGGTAGGCCCTGGGGGCCCACTCTGTTCCTAGGGCTCCCCTCCAGCCCTCTAGCTCACTGTAAAGACCACGCCTCCCCCATTCGGTCCCGTCCCAGCCTCCACCATTGACCAGCCCCCCGCCACTCCCCAGCTGAGCCTGGGTCTTTCTAAAGGGCTTTACTAAAAATAAGGGAAAATAAAAGAGAAGCAGAACAAAAGAACGTCAAACGGCCGGTGTCACACTCAGGATACAGCATCTCTTTTTTTTCTTTTTTGTTTTTTTTAAAAGATTTATTTATTTATTTATACAAGCACTGGGTACAGTCAGAAGCGCGGGAGGGTGAGAGAATTCACCAGAGCCAGAGCGGGGAGCAGAGCAGGCAGAAGGACCGAAGGACACTGCTGAGGGGAGCAGCGGGCGGCAGGAGGGGTCTGCGCGCCATGTGGGACCCTCCTCCGGTGGCCGGGGAGCAGCCGGGGATCGAACCGGCGCTGCAGAGGCTGCTGGCAGCTTCACAACCCAGCGCTCAACCGCTGCGCCACCGGGGAGGCCCAGGATACAGCATTTCTGTGACTCCAGGGCCCCCAGCCCTCCCTGCCCGTCCTTCCCTATTGGCTCACTGGGGACCCCCAGCCCTGGCAGTGTGGTTAATGGGCCCTGCCTTATCTCCCCCCTTCCCCACTAGGGGCAACACCCTGGCAGCCCCAGCCCCATCTCCCCACCTCCCCCAGGTCAAAGTTTCCCCACGAGCCCAGAGGCGGTGCCAGCAGCGAGGGACTGCTGGGCCAGGAGAGGCAGGCAGGCCTCTGTGACCCGCAGGCTTCCAGGCCCGGCTAACAGGAGTCACGGCAGTAGCAGCCGTGGCTGAGGAGCTGACCTGGACACGCAGCCGGTGACCCTGGCCGGCCTGAACAGCTCCTGAGCAGCGGGTTTATGTCCTGTGGACTCAACAAACACATGAGCTATTGCCAGCGAAACTCGCTGAGCTCCCAAGCCAAGCAGCCTGCTTCCTGTGAGGAAAGCCTGGCCCAGTGAGTGATGGCCCTGGGCACAGAGCAGGTGACCCGGGGAGGGAAGGTTCTCTCTTCTGCGTGCACAGAGCCAGCTGAAAGGCGGGATTGTGTGGGACAGAGGGGTTCTGTACCGAGACCGCCTCGGCCCTGGCAGCCCACTCTGGCCTTCTTTCTCCAGGCAGCCAGTCGTACAGGAAGTGAGGACGGCTCTTGCTCAGTGTCGCCGTGCCGCTGCCCGAGGACCAGCCAGCTTCCGGGTCTTCGCCAGCTGCAGGCAACAGACGTGAAGAGACAATGTCGGCGAGTCGCCGGTGGCCAGGGCGCTGCGGAGAGGCAGCCCCAGGACACGGGCCCAGAGGACGACCCCTCTCCCCGGCTCCCGACTGCGTGGACAGTGCCTGCCCAGGCAGGGAGCTGGACCTTCTTGGGAGCACTTGGGGGCCTGGCGGGGGGGCAGAGGGCTTAGCCGCAGGGGAGACCCTGGCCTTGGGGCACCCAGCTCTCCTTGCTCAGACCAACTAGGAGGAAACAGAGGGCCGGAGTCAGGGAAGCCAGTCCTCGCTCGTGGACCTGAGCAGCAGTTCTCAGCTTCTTTAAAATCTGGTCAGAAAATGGCGAATCCCCACGCAGGTTCAAAGCAGGTGCGCTCTGCCAGGCGGGCCTGTTCCCCTCGCTCCACAGAGACCTTAAAGGCGAACAGCGCTGCCACTGCCACCGGCAAAGCGACCGGTCTCCACGGGGGGATGCCTGGGCTCCCTCCTCGGAGGGCAACACCCTTAGGAAGGACAAAGGAAGGACACTCCCGGCAGAGCCAGCAGGACTCAGGTGTCCTACATGTTTCCCGAGCTGGCAGCAGGGTCTGGCCTCCCCTAAAACAGGAGCACCTGAAATAAAAGGAATCAGTATTTAGATGGTTCGTGTGTGCGGCCACAGCATGTGTGAGTGCCAGGCACTCCGGCCACCCGCTGTGCCCGGTGGGCCTCTGTGCCCCCCTGGGCACACTGGAGGATAAGCTTTGTGCTTCTCAGCGGGTTCTGAGCCTCAGGAGCGCGGGCAGAGAATGAGGCGCTTGGGAGCAGGCGAGGTCGAGGTTCCCCACAAGAGGCACGCGCCCCCATCGACCCTAGGGGCGTCTCCTGAGCTCCTGGCAGCGGTGAAGGCTGGCACGGCTGGACCCTGGCCCACGGCACATGTCCATGCTCTGGATGCCCCTCTCTGTCCCTGGGGAAGCCCTTCTTGGGCACGTCCACCCCTTGGCACTCTCTGAACTCCTAACTTAACCTGGGAGGGAGAAAGGGAAAGAGGAAATGCGTGTCCAGTGTTGCCAATGCGTGCAGACAGGAAGCGGAGACTGGGGCCCGGAAACGGAGTCACCCCAGTGGCTGCAGACCCAGAGCAGAAAAACAGGATAGAAAAAATCTCTCCTTTTCTCCCCAGTAAATCCACTCCTCCTCAGATTCCTGAGATGCCACCAGCAGGCCCTCAGTCCAGGGGAGGGAGCAGCCCCGACTCCAGGAGGCCAGAGGGAATGGGAGCCTCACCCCATGTTATCGCTTTTTGGAGGTGCCCAGGTGAGAGGGCACCTGCTCTTTCTTCCGGGAGCCCGTGGATGAAGTAAGGTCTGGCTTGTAAATGTCTGGCCATTTTGAGAACGAAATGAGGGGGGCCTCTGAGTAATGAGGGGAGGATCCCAGCGTGGCCAGGCTGCACGGAGGTCAGCAGGTGCGGTCAGGGTGGTTCTCCGGGGAAGTAAATACCTCCTGACCTCAGCCACACCCAGAGACTCTGTAAAATACCAGCAGCTTATTCACAAATACTCCAGCTACCTGGGGCCTCGCTGGGTCGCTGGGGCTGGGTACGAACATGATCCTTGGGAGAAAATCAAATACAGAAATAAACCCAAAGGCTTCCCAGGGCCTCTGGAGATGCTCTCAGATTTGCTCCGAGGCTTTGCAGGGGCGCCAGGGTGAGGGACTGGGCTTCCGGAAGATCACAGCTCCTCCACCCACTTACGCTCACCCCGTCTCTCTGGCTAGGCCCCCGCCTTTTCTCCTGACTGGGAATTGATCCCATTTGCTTCACTCACAGCAACATGTAAATGTCTGGCAAGAGCTGAAATTATGGCGGGCATGTAATAGGCAGGTAGACATTTAAGATCTAGTAGCTTAAGAAGGAGCTAAATAAAAAGCAAAAACACAGATTAATGAAAAAAAATCCATGACAAACAAAATACTGAACTGGTTAATAAACACAGGCCCCTTCCCTGCGCTTGGCTGGGCCTCCCTTTCACTCAGGGCCCTCGTCCCAGCCGAGGCCAATGAAACACCAATGAAACAAAGGCTGGGCAGCCGCCCCACCCAGCTACAGTCTGCAGGCTTGGTTTTTTTAATATTGCATTAAAATACGACTTATCTTGGTTACCGAGCTTTGTACCCTGGTATTTTGTGTGCAAGGTGACTGCCTCACCAGCCTCACCCACGTGCCCACAGGCGGAGGGTCCCCCTGCCCTCCTGTGTGCTGGTGGCACAGCCTCAGGGCGGGCAGCAGGACCCTCCTGCCTGACCATCTTCACCCTGCAGGCACCAGGAGAGCTGTGCGAAGGAGGGTCCAGTTTGCTTTTGCACGTAACAGACTATCCCCCGAGACCTGGCAGCTTCCACCAGCTCACTAGCTTTGAAACCTGCGGCTCAGGCGGGCAGTTCTGGGGGTTGGCTGGGCCGGGTGTGCCTTCAAGTTCAGAGGGCGATCAGGCACCCTGTGTCTGGCCGTCACCATGGGGTTCCCTCCGTGAGGCCTCTGGCGCCCCGGCCAGCAGCGGGCTCCGGCGCAGGTGACGTGACTGCCAGGCGCCGCTCAGGATTCCTCTCCCGTCAGGCCTGGTAGGCCGCACCGCGGGCTGAAGTGTGAGGAGGCAGGAGGATGCGGGGAGACTGAACAACGGGCACGACCTCCACACTCTACCGCCTAGCTGGTGTTCAGACCCGAACCTTTCAGGCTTGCCCTGTGGTGCAACCTCAGGTCAGTTCAGTTTCAATTCAGTTGTGTGCCGGGATGTTGTGTTGAGGTTTTGTTAATGCTGTGACGTGGAGCCAGGGCAGAAGACCACAAGGGAAAGTGAACAGGGAGGTTCCTTTTCCACGGGGCCTGGAGGGCAGGGCGCGGGCCGGGAGAGACAGGACCCGCGGCCCTACCTCTTGGGGGCTTCAGGCCCGGTTGATAAATAAGGCAGGGGCTCTAGTAAGCTCCCTCGGGGTCTTATCTGAGGGGCCCACCAGGGGAAGTTCTTGGGACACAGGACAAGAACTGGTGACCATCAGGACAACTGTCCATCAGCAGGGGCTTGGGGCAGTCACATCGGGAACTCGACCTGGGGCCAGCAGTTGTGGGAGGCCAGTGCAGGTCCGGGGCCCAGCACACCACTTGCCACACAAGATGGCGGAGCAGTTTAGCTAAACTCTCAGCGGAAAGCCATTTCCTCTGTCCGTCCGCGAGGGAGACGCCTGGCCCTTGCCGATGGCCATAGTTCAGGGCAGGGCACCAGCCCAAAGCCCTGCACAGACTTCCCAGAGGCTGTGGAACTGGGAGGAGCAGGAGGAGGGCCAGGAGCACCCCAAGGAGTCATTGCTTCAAGATGGAAGTTGAAGTGTGGGCGTGGAAGGGGCTAAAGAAATGAGAAACTGAAGGAGATAGAAGAGGCTAGGGCAGGAGACACTCCCCGGGGGAAGGTTCTGGCACCTGGAGGAAAACAGTGCATGGAGGGCACTCGCCCTCGTCAGAGCTGAGTGGGGGAGATAGAGGAGGAGATGGGCCACCTGGAGCCCGTTCAAGAGAGCTGTGCCCCAGGGTGTTGTGCCAGAGGTCTGCCTGGCACTGGGAAAAGCTGAAGTCATGAGTGGATGCCAAAGGCAGGGAGGTGGGGAAGGTCTTGGGTAAGGAAGAGGGGCCAGGTTGACGGCGTGAGCTCTAAGAAGGGAGGTTGGAGAAATAACCCGGAGCAGTGATCTTGCGGGGTACTTAGGAGTGGGGTGGGGGGCACCTGAACATGGGCAGAGGAGTGGCTGGATCCACTTGTACCTGATGCTGCATTTTCAGGAATTCTTTATTTTTTTTTTAAAGATTTATTTATTTATACAAGCACTGGGTACAGTCAGAAGCGCGGGAGGGTGAGAGAATTCACCAGAGCCAGAGCGGGGAGCAGAACAGGCAGAAGGACCGAAGTACACTGCTGAGGGGAGCAGCGGGCGGCAGGAGAGGTCTGCGCGCCATGCGGGACCCTCCTCTAGTGGCCGGGGAGCAGCCAGGGAGCAGCCGGGGATCAGCCAGGGATCGAACTGGTGCTGCAGAGGCTGCGGGCAGCTTCGCAACCCAGCGCTCAACCGCTGCGCCACCGGGGAAGCCCCATTTTCAGGAATTCTCTGAGCCGGTGTTAGCCATAGTCATTACCAAAACTTAAATTATTTAAACTTACAATTAAATGTATTCTGCTAGAGCAAGGTAATAAGTGCTCAAGCATCACCCCTTCTAATTATTTTGCATTTACCATTGCCTGTGTCCAGCAGGACATTTTTTACATTGGTTCTATCCCGAAGGGGGAAATACCCCATAATGACGCTTACTTGACACCATTTTGGTAACTTGAAATCTGGTAACTTGTAATCAGCTGAGCTGGAGATAATGGAACCAGAGAAATTGGCAAAGGCCACACCCCAGGGCTCCCTGCTACCCCCACCCCCACCCCGGAGAGCTGGTTGTCAGACATTCCCCAGCATAACACTGGGGGTGCAGCTGGAATGGTGGGTGCCATGCTGGGCAAATTGGGAGGTCAGTGTGTCCCCGGAAGGGCCCAAAGGGCGGGTGTGGGATGGGCAAGTGGCAGCTGCCATGGGATGCTCCCCTGCGACTATTTCTTTTTTTTTTAAAGATTTCTTTATGCATACAAGAGATGGGGTGCAGGCCAGAGGGGTGGGAGGTCATAGGATTCACCAGAGACAGAGTGGGGAGCAAAACAGGCGGATCTACTGAAATCCACTGCTGAGGGGAGCAGCAGGGAGACAGGAGGGGTCTGCTAGCCCCCTGCACCTTTTCTACACAGTCCCGATCTCCGACCCCCGCCACAAGTGCCAGCAACATTTCATGTCCAGGCCTTCACCTCACGGGAACTAGCCTGGGCCTTTCTACCCTGATTGCCTGAGGATTTGGTCAGTGAACCTGCATGCTCCCCACACACCTTCCATGTGGCACACACCTGTGTTATTTCTCTGAACGTGCCAGAAGCACCTGCCCACGTCCTCTGGGGTGAGGCACTGCCCACCAGCCACATGGCCACTCCCGCTTCTGGGAGGTGGGGCGAGCTCCCTGGGTACACAGTTGACCTCCTACGACTCTGGGTTCTGGTTCTTAAACCGCCAATGGCAGGGCACTGACTGGGCCAAAAATGAGGTGAGTTGGGGTGCCCCCCTCTCACTAGAGGGCCCTGCTGCACCAGGCCAGGCTTGTAGGCACAGGTCCTGGCCTTTACCTGTCCCAAGGGCAGGGCCTGCTGGCCTGGGCTTACTGGTGGGAGGTGGGGCAAGGAGGTAGATGAAGTGCCAAAGGGAAGGAAAGTGGGGCCAAGAAGGGCCTGGGCATGAGGTTGGGATGCCAGCACATTCCCAGCCCAGGCCAGGCTTCAGAGGCCTCACATGGGAGCAGCGCGGGTAAAGGGTTTGAGGGACCCCAGGGAAGCCACCCTGGCTCCATGGAATAGGGGGGATTTAAGAGGGTGTGGCCTGAGGATAGACTAATGGCCTCGTGGGGAGTGTCCAACTGGAGCCTCCTGGTGGGCCATCTGCAGGGGCACCACAGACACCTGATCACCGTGGGCCCAGGGCAAAGGGCCGGAGGCTGGAAGAGTGTCAGGGGCCGGCCCTGTCAGGAAACAGCATTGTCCAGACCTGGGGTCCCTGCTGATTCTCTAGCAGCAAACACCTCTCACCTGCTGTCTAAACATCTCCATCCTTCACCCCCTGAAGGCAGGTCTCTCCACCTCATTGTTATTTCAAAATGGCGAGAGGCGTCTCTGACATGTGTAAACGCAAGACAAGGAAGCTGACCGCAAGGCCAGCTGGCTGGGGATCAGCCATGAGAGAGGTGGGCCTGCTTGTGAGGGTTCCTCTGAGGAATCTGAGGTCACCAGGAGACAGGAGCAGCAACAGCCTGGACAAACTGGCTCAAAAATCATAGTTGGGGGCCTCCCTGGTAGCACAGGGGTTAGTCTCAGCACTGTCAAGCCATCACCAACCACTGAGACCTGAGTTTGCTCCCCGGCCAGGGAGCCGACCTCCATGGCGCGGCAGACCTCTCCTCAGCAGTGGATTTCAGTAGATCTGCCTGTTCTGTTCCCCACTCTAGTGAATCCTCTACCCACCACACCTCTGGCCTACACTCAAGTTCTTATATGCATAAATAAATAAAAATAAATCTTTAAAAAAAGATCATAGTTGCAGTTCAGCACCATTTCTCAGAAACTCAGTCTGGCCCAGAGATGAAATATGCCGCCATTTCTGTCCTGCAGGTGGTTTGGCTGACGCAGAAGTTTACTGTGGGAATGCCAGTCTCCTTGGGTGGGGACGGGCAGGGATGTCCCCCACTGGGAGGTCTAAAGAGGTTAGATGCCAAAGCACATCCCCTTCACCAGGCGGTGAGACATAAAGCCTCACAGCCTGGTTCCCTCACCAAGTTCTCTCGGTCACCAGGGGCCCCCAATCTCAGGGGTCCTTGGCAGCTGTAGCACCAGCCAGAACTGACTGCTCACTCCTCCTTTGTGGGTTCTCAGACATCTGAAGTGGCCCTGCCCACACTGTAGTGACCCTCCACATTAAAGACCCTGGGTCCCCTGCTCTGAACATGCCCTCATCTGTCCCCGCCCTCATCCCCTGCCCTCACTGACCCGCTGGCCTCCTGTCTCCACTGGTCTCCCAGCTCAGGCTCCAGCTCCAGCCAGGGGACAGCTGGGGAAGGGAGGGCACCAGGGGCTGGCAAGAGGGCCTAAGTAGAGAGGAGGGGGCCTCCCAACTGGTCCTCCTTCCTTTGTCCCGGGGCCTCTGGCTCCGTGAACTCTCAGAAGCAAGATGGCGTCATGGGTCTACAACCAGCCCCAAGCCAAGACTGAACTTGGATTCAGTGATAGGCTGTGATTGGGTGAGATTGGCCCGAGTTGCAAATCCCAGAGAGGAGGCTTCCAGAGAAGAAAGGAGCTGCTCAGGGTCTCCCCTCCCCATTTTGAAGGGAAGGTCAGGACTGGGTAGAGGGTGGGCGGGGAGCTGCACTCAGAAGTGAAGGGGGTCCCTTGAGGCTGTGGCTTCCCTCAGCCCCAAGGCTGCTTCTCTGGAATTGGGCTCAGCTCACCACAGGGAGCCCTTGGCTGTTCACAGGGGGCCGTGCATGGAATGTCCACTCTCCAGGTGGCCTCACCACTCCATGGCCTGGCCTCCAGATGGGCAGCAGCCTGCAGGCTTCCTGGCATACAGCGGTGGCGGCATCACTTGGTCAGAGCCCAGCTCTCAGCCAAGCGGGAGGTGTGGTGGAAGAGTCGCCGCCACCACCCTCCAGCCTCAGCTTCAGTTCCTGCCTCCATCTCCCTGGCTGACTTCCCAGCTGTGCCTGCTTGTCCTTCCCCAACCACCCCACTCCCTCTTCAGGCCTTTGCTGGGACATCAGCCCCAGAGAGACCCTTCCTGCCTCCAGCTCCCCCAGGTCTTAGTGTCCTCTCACAGCACAGACACAGTGGGGCCCTCACCCTGAATTCACAAAGGGCAGGAAGGGGCAGGGACGAGTCCAGTCCAACTGGAATGTGCGTGAGTCACGCCCACGCCAAGGGGGGCCTGGCATCTGCATTGAAAGAGCCCCCACCACACCCTGAGGATCAGTATCCAGGGCCTGTCCTGAGCGCCCCACATTCTGGAGCTGCTCCTGGCTGCGGCCTCCACTGGGCCACGATTCTGAATTCCCCACAAACCACAGCCTCCCCTGGGGAGACTGTCTCATAGAAGTCTTCTTGTTCTTAACAGATTTATTGAGGTGTATTTGACATAAAATCTACTGTATGTGTCCGGGGCTGGCAAGAGGGTCTAAGTAGAGAGGAGGGGCCTCCCAACTGGTGCTCCTTCCTGGTGAATTTGATACATGTAAATCTGATATATGTAAGCAGCCACCACACGGCACCGCAGTCAGCAGAGTGGACACTCCTGTCACCCCAACCACCTAGTCGAGTCCTCTTGGGAGGTCTCCCTCTCCCTTCCTGCCCACCTCCCTTGTCTCTAGGCAACTGGCTTTTCTGTCATCATAGATTTGTTTGCATTTTCTACCATTTCATTTTTGTAATATAATCACACCAAGTGTATTCTTTTAGTCTGGCTTCTTTCACTCAGCATAATTACTTTGAGATTTAGTCCTGTTGTGGTGTTCCTTTTAATGGTTGAGTAATATTTAGTCATTTTAATGGTTGCATAATATTCTATCATAGAGCTATCACTGCAAATAAAGCTGCTGGGGACAGTCACATGCAAGTCTTTGTAGGAACATGCCTTTGTCTCTCTTTAGTAAATACTGAGGAGTGGAATGGCTAGGCCAGGTGGTAACTATGTATTTAACTTATTAAGAAATTGTCTCACTGTCTTCCACAGTTGTCCAAACCCAGGTTTCCAGTTTCCAGTTTCCCTGCCCTCCAGCAGTGTTGTCTGAGGGTTCCAGTTGTCCATCACTGTTTTGGTCAGATGTCCCGATCCATGTGTGTGGGCTGTCCGCCCCATGCCCCCACTTCTGTTAATTAATAAGTCTCAGCAGTAGTTAGAGCAGGAGATTATCAGATAATCAAAGTTTCTAACCTGGCAATCAGTTCAACAGATTTTACTCTGTGAGAGCTGTTCCAATAAGCACAAGTTGGAATTTAGCTTGTATAGGTAGGAACGTTAAGAATGTCTTTATTCTTGATAGGAGGAGCTTCTGGTAGATTGTTCAGACCTAAAGATATGCTGGTGCTGGAGGAAAGCTGTACAGGATTTCACTTTTTTCCTTGAACACACAACAGACCTGCCAAGGCTGGGTACCCATTGTTAATTTTTATTTTTTCTGAAAAGATTCAGGCAGCAGGTTCCTGGATGCAGGATGGAGCCTGTGCCGATGACTTTGCCCTCTAGGAAGGCAGCTGGACCAGGGGCAGGGTCCCCAGAAAATGTCACAGTATATTTATAGATATTTAAACTGTGTATCATTGTGATTTGCTGTCCATATGTATTGTGAAAGAGCTCCCCTCTCATACGTCATCTCACATATTTATCTTTTTTTTTTTTTTAAAGATTTCTTTCTGTATTTATACAAGCACTGGCTACAGTCAGAAGCACGGGAGGGTGAGAGGATTCACCAGAGCCAGAGCTGGGAACAGAACAGGCAGACTGACGAAACACACTGCTGAGGGGAGCAGTGGGCGGTAGGAGAGGTCTGTGCGCCACGTGGGACCCTCGCCGGTGGCCAGGGATTGAACCACCGGCGCTGCAGAGGCTGCGGGTAGCTTTGCAGCCCAGCGCTCAACCACTGCGCCACCGGGGAGGCCCTCACATATTTATCTTTTTCCTTTTTTGTGACAACATTTAAGTTCTACTCTTAGCACATTTCAATGACTCGCTGCGCTGCCATCAACTGTAGTCACCACAGTTCACTTTAGCTCCTCAGACCTTATTCATCTTATAGCTGCAAGTTTGTCACCTTTTACCAACCTCTCTGTTTCCCCCAGCCCCGGCAGCCTCTTTTTATTTTCTCTTTCTATGAGTTTGACTTTTATCATTTTTTTCTTCATTTTTTAAAATTCCACTTAGAATGAATACCATGCAGTATTTATCTTTCTGTTTGACTTGTTTCACTTAGAATAATGCCCTCACTGCCTACCCATGTTTTCACACATGGCAGAATTCTCTTCTTTCTCATGACTATTATTCCATGGTGTAGGTGTGTGTACATATATGTACATATGTGTGTATTATGTGCATATGTATCACATGTTTTTATCACCCTTCCATTGATGGGCACCTAGGTTGTTTCCATATCTTTGCTGTTGTGAATAATGAACATGGGGGTGCAGCAATGAACGCAGGGGTACAGATAGCTCTTTGCTATCCTGATTTCAATTCCTTTGGACGGACACCCATAAGTGGAATTGCTGAATCATATGGTAGTTCTAGCTTTAATTTTCTAAGGCTCTCCCATACTGTTTTCCGTGGTGGCTGTTTTCCATGGCACCAATTCACATTTCTTGCACACAGAGTAGAGCTCCCTTTTCTCCACATCTGCCCCAACATTTGTTTTCTTGTGTCTTTTTGAGAATAGCCTTTCCAACAGGTGTGAGGTGATATCTCATTGTGGTTTTCTTTTTTTTTTTAATTTATGAATTATTTTATTTTATATAATTCTTACATCATTTTTCATTTTTGCATAATGTATGCATTTTCATTTTGGTTATATTCCCCATACAATTTCCACCCCCTTTTTCTGACCCTAATCCTTCTTCTCCTCCCACTACCCCCCCACTGTACGGTGTCTCTGGTCTATAGTTGCTGGTTGATTTTGATTTTTACTTTATTGCAATTAGTCTTTTTTCTGGTCCCTTATTTAGGTTTTCTAAATTCCTGCTATGAGTGAGACCATCCGGGATTTTTCTTTTTCTTTCTGGCTTATTTTGCTGAGCATGATCCCTTCCAGCGCCATCCATGTTGCTGCAAATTGCATGTGTTTATCTAAAAATATAGAACGCTTTACAATTTTGCGTGTCGTCCTTGTGCAGGGGCCGTGCTGATCTTCTCTATCGTTCCAATTTTAGTATATGTGCTGCCGAAGTGAGCGCTCGCATTGTGATTTTCATTTGCATTTTCCTGATATTAATCATTCAAGTGTTTGATCCATTTTGAATTAATCTGGGATATGATGTAAGATAGGAATCCAATTTCATTCTTTTGCATGTGGAAGTCCAATTTTTCTAACACCATTTATTAAAAAATGGGTTTTTTTCTCCATTGCATATTATTGGCTCCTTTATTGTAAATTAATTAACCATATATACATGGGTTTATTTCTGGGCTCTCTGTTCTGTTTCATTGCTTTATGTGTCTATTTTTTCCTAGTACAATGCTGTTTTGATTACTATAGCTTTGTAAGAGACTTGAAGCCAAGAGGTATTATGTCTCTAGCTTTGTTCTTCTTCCTCAGAATCGCCTTGGCTGCTCAGGGTGTTTTGTTGTTCTTAGGGTTGTTCCATTTCTACAGAAAATGCTATTAGAATTTGCTAGTAGAGCCCCAGGGGGAGAGCAAGTTTAGAACTATTTCTTTGTTTGCTAGTCTGATGGGTTTCATCGATGGAAGCCCCATATATAAAGTCTTCTAGGGGTAAGTATCCTGGGGACCCTTCCCTCGGGTGGAAATCTTAAAAGTTGGAGCACCAGAGGTTGGGTCAAAACTCTTCACTCCTCAAGAAGTCGTGAGTTGTAGTTCTCTCTGAATAGTTGAATATATCTCAGTCTCTCCTACCTTTCCCACCCTTATGAAGTGGGTATTTTCTCATTTCCTGATGTGTAGGAGTTACTCAGCTACTTTCCGGAGTTCTTTCAGAGGGAATTGCTCTGTGTATGTCTGTAGATCCTGTGTGTTCATGGGAGGAGGTGAGTTCCACAGCCTCCTGTGCCACCATCTTGGATCAGAATCCCCTTGGATCGGACGCTGCCAACCTTTACCACAACAGAAACTTCCCAACAAGTCACCCCTCCCTGGCTTGTCAGCACTGGCCCTCTCCCTACTGACCTCATCCCTGCTGGAAGGAAGAAAAGGATCCAACTTAATCAGGAAGGGGCGGAGCTGGGCCCTAGAACTGCCTCAAACTTTTGAAGGCTCTGAGGTCTGAGAGGGCCTGTCCCTCCCACATCCTTTGTTGGTCCCACCAGGTGACTGCCCAAGTTCTAGGTGCCCATCTCCTACCACCAGTGAGGGCAGGCTGACGGAAAGAGAAGGCAATGACAGCACCAGTCAGGGTCGTAATTGCGGGTGACAAAACACCAACAAAAAATGATTGGGTCCTGTTAACCTATCATGGGAGGCAGACTGCATTGGTCCTCGAGGCCCATGTCATCTTCCTAATGCTGCTATAACAAATTACCACAGACTTTGTGGCATAAGACAACTGAACTACATTCTCTCATACTTGCCACGAATCCAGGTTGAGTTGGCTAGTTTCTGTGCTCAGAATTTTTCTAGGCCAAAAATCATCGTTTTGGCCAGCTGTGTTCTTACTGCGAAGTTTCATGAAGAATCTGCTCCTGAGCTCATTCGGGTTGTGGGCACAATCCCATTCCTTGTAGACTGAGGTCCCCATTCCTCACTGGCCATCAGCTTGGGGGGCCACCCTGAGCTCCCAGAGGCCTCTCTCTCTCCAGTCTCGGGGCTGCAAGTGGGTACCTCTATTTCAGAACCAACAGATACACGCCAAATCCTTCTCGCTCCTGGCATCTCCGTCCGTTCTGCTACATCTCCTCTGCTTTCAGCCAGAGATGGGTCCACCCACATCATCCAGGCTCATGCCCTTTTTCCAGGTCTGTAACCTTCATCCCATCTGCATCCCCTTTGCCTGTAGTCCCAGGCTCTGGGGATTAGGGTGTGGGCATCTTTGAGGGGGCTGACCTCAGGGACTCCGGAGCCACAGTCCTGGCTTGTTAAGAGCTTGGTGTTTTGTTCTCTCCCACTGTAATGAAGGGGACCTGGGTAGCAGGTGGCACAACATTTCCCCAATTTGTACCCTTAAATGCCCCATGATCAGGAAAGAACAGGGAGTACCCTACCAGGTCCCCTTTGAAACTGCCCAGGCAGAGCCCAGATTGGCCCAGCCCAGGTCACAGGCCCACCTTGGCTCAAAGGGGGGAGGGGAGGCTACCTAGACTACCTTGGCCTGGTCAGAGCCCACCCCTGCAATGAGCCCAGCACTGAGTCTGTGAGATCGCCCCGTGGTGCCCACTGCAGACCCTTCTACCAGGTGGCTGGCACCACCGTCCCACCAGGCCTACCATATCATAGCCCCTCTTGACAGAGGCCGGCCCCAGCTCACGGCAGGCTGGCCTTCCCCTGGGCCTCAGCTGTCTCCTGACTACAATGGGGAAAATAGTCCAGGCCTGCCGGCTACTCAGCACGCCGGGAAGCAGACCGAGGGAGCAGGAGGAGGAGGCTGTGGGTGTGAGGAGGTCTCTGACCAGGTCTGGGAGGGGAACTGAGGCTGACTCGGGCCGGTCCCCCCTCATGCCCACACTAGAGTGGTACTGACTCCTGGGGCCACAGCTCCCCAGTGGGCCCTGGTGGGAGCAGGGCTGCCCAGAACGCACCTGGCCAGGCTCTGGGCCCTAAAAGGCCAGCCATTCAAGACAGGCTTGGACAGGAGCCGGTGAAGACAGACAGGGAGCCTGTGCTCAGAGAGGAAGGAGGCCTCCGGGCGGCCTCCCCTCGGGCTGAGCTGCCAGGCTGGGAGAGCCAGGGGCTCATGGGGAGGGGGAGGCGCCCGGAGGGAAGACTAAGCCAGTGTTAGAGACCCAGGGGCTGAAAGGAGGCTGTGTGTGTCCAGGGGCCGCCTGGCCTGGCAGGCGGGGATGTGAGTCATTGGTGGCCTGGGGGAGGGGGCAGCCCAGCTGGCCAGGACGAAGGGGTACAATGCCCACCCTCAAGCGTGTGAATGCAGGTCAGTGTAAGTTTGAACGTGTGGGAAGGTTCTGCAAACCAGTTGGGGCCGCCCAAGCCTCCCTGGCGTGGCACACCCTGTCACCTTCCGACGATGGATGGCTGAGGCCGCTCCTCCCGGCCAGGGTCTCCACCCGGCTGCCATGCAGGCCGGCCATTCCCCGCTCACTCATCGGCAGGCGTCCATGCCTTGCTCCTCTGTGCTGCCAGGAGGAGAGGAAGGCCTGTCCCTGCTCTCAGTTGTGCCCAGTGTGGTGGGAAGTAGAGGACAGACAGACGTGATCTGGCCAAGGGAGGGAGCACTGCTTCAAGGGAGGGTTTTAAAAGATTCAGAAAGGGGAGCAAAGTTGAGCAGAGGAAGCTGAGATGGTGGTGAACAGGAGAAGGTCAGGGTGGCTCATACTGGGGCGGGGGTGACTCAGGGCACCTGCGGCAGGGCTGGAGGCTCCTGGAGGCGGGGGTGAGCACAAGCTGGATGACCTGGGCTGTTCGTCACTGTAGCAGGAACTGCCTGGCCCTGGGCCCCTTCCCAGGGGCCTGCCAGAGGGTCTCACCAGTAGCAGATGAGCTGCGGGGAGGTGGGGGAGGCCCCCCGACCCGGGAAAGGCCATGGGCATGTGTGTTTATGTGTGTCTCCGTGTGTGATGAGTATCTGGGGGTGTGTGTGCATCTCTCTCTAAAAATGTGTACGCTGTGGGTATATGAGCATATATTTCTTATGGGGTGTGAATGCACCCCATAACTGTGAGTGTGTACACATATAATGTATGTCTCTCTCCAAAGGTGCATGCTCCTGTATGGATGAGTATGTGTCTGACCTACATGTATGTCTCTGAACATGTGTGTTCCTGTGCATCTGTGTGTGTCCCTGTGTCTGTGTGTCCCTGTGTGTTGCTGTGTGTGTCTGTTTTCCCATGTACATATGTCCCTGTGTGTCTGTTGGATCTGTGTTGCTCATAGGCCTGTGTGTCTGCGTGTGTCCATGTGTGCCCATGTGCCTGTGTCCACGTGCATGCATGCCTGCTCTGTGTTGTTTAGAGGCCCATGTGGCTCTGTGTGAGTCTGGTGTGTTTGCCTGCCTGTGTGTCCGTACGAGGGATTGTGTGTCAATGTGAGTGTGTTCACCCACGCCCGACTGGCAGGAGCCTGGGTGGGGCCCAGCTGGCCTGCATCTAGACAAGCCTGTGACAGTGCCTGCCCCTTCCTGCCAGGTCCTTTCCACCCAGCTCTTCCAGGTGCCCAGACCCTGGTTTCTGGGCTTCCTCTTCACGTCCAGTTCCATCCCCACCTGCCTGGCTCCGCACCAGTCAAGCCAGCTGTTGGCCAGCCAGCTTTCACCCAGCTGAGTTTCATTAGCAGCAGTGCACTCGGGGAGGGGCAGAGCCAAGGGAAGAACAACTGCACCAAATGGCAGGGAATTCCTGGCTTAACTGGGGTGTCGGGCTGCCACTCTGTCTTTTTCTGGGGTTTACTGGGCAGGTGCACCTGGGGCGTACTTTTATTAGCCCCCACAGGAGGTGGAGGGTTGGGGGTCTGCCATCCCCCCTGGTACCTCTGGACTTTCCTGTAGATCGGGGTAGGGATCCTTTAGGGTCATCACACACACACTCTCGGAGTGCTAGCCTGTCTGCCTTAGGAAGGGCTTTCTCCCCTCGATCAAGCAAGTGCATCCGGGTGCTTGTTTGTTTTTTTTTAATTAATTTATTTATTAATACAAGGACTGGGGTACAGGCCAGATGCGCGGGAGGGTGAGCGGATTCACCAGAGACAGAACGGGGAACAGAACAGGCAGACTGATGAAACACACTGCTGAGGGGAGCAGCAGGCGAGGCAGGAGCGGTCTGAGGCGCCATGTGGGACTCTCGCCGGCCGGCAGGGATTGAACCAGCACTGCAGAGGCTGCGGACAGCTTCACAGCGCGGTTCTCAACCGCCTGCGCCACCAGGGGAGCCCCGGGTGCTTGTTTACACGCCCGAGGCAGGTTGGGTGGGTGTCTGCCTTCCCAGGCGTTCCCAGGTGTTGGGGTTTTTTTATTATAACTGCATGTTCTTGGCATCCTGGGGGCAGCTGGCCATTAGCCATCTTTAGGCACTGCTGCCCCTGCCCTAACTGCCACAGAGCCAGGTGGCCATCAGCCCCAGAGGGGCTGTGTCCACCCTCCGCCGGCCAGGCTACAGCCGCCCCGCCTGGAGAGTAGGGCTTCTCCCTCCATCCTTTCTTCTTCCTTCTTGCCCTCCTGGTCTTAGGGGCTGGTCCTGGAGTGTGACTAACAGGCTTGGCGTGAGTGGGACGGCCAACCGGCGCGTCTCTCTTGGTAACTGTGGCTTCCTCTGAGGGGTCTGCCACCTCCAGGCTGTCCTGTGGGGCTGCCCATCCCAGGACCCTGCCCTGACCAAGCAGAGAACACATGACCCAGTCCGTCCAGTCACCGCACCCAGGCCCCTGACGTGGACACCGGGCCAGGCTGGGCACGGGGCTGACGTGAGCCCAGCGGGAGCCCCTCCCTGGAATTTTGTACGTGGAGGTTGTGAGGAAAATTACTCTATCCCCGGGGTCCTCAAGGCGGGGGTCCACTCCTGAGGCCGTCTGCAGACCTGCCTATGTCCCACTCCGCACGGGGGAAGCTGTGGCCGAGACAGGTGGACATGGGTGGGGGCCCGAAAGGGGGCGTCCTGTCATGTGAGCGAATTCCTTGCGCTTGCGCCTCACTGAGCTGGGATTCTGTCACTCGCACCCAGAAGAGCCCTGGACCACCTGGCCCGGCCCCGAACGCCCCTCCTGTCTGCTCTGGCTTTCTCAGACCCCGCGCAGAGGCCGCCCTCACCCGTCCCACTCTCCCCAAGCTCCTAGGCCACCGCTGCTTCTTCAGCTGCCACTGACCTCCACAGGGAGAGGGAATTCCTCCCCGTCTCCCTCCCTGCCCCCGAGTCCCTCCCTAGCTTCCCTCTCCCCAGCCTCACTGAGGTGGAGGCCATGTCCCTCCCCTGACCCTCCACCCTCCTCCGCCCCACCGCTGACCAAGGCAGCTGGAACTGGAGGACTCAGCGCCAGTGGTTCCCAAGCCTGCCTGCACCTGGGGCTCATCTGGGAAGCCTGGAGAAAGCAGTTCCCAGCTTCCCTCAGAGTCTGCAGAAGGCTCTGCCATCAGGACCTGAAGCATCTTCACTGCCTTCTTGGTGGTGGTCTGGCCTTTGCTGGATCAGGACCGGGCCGTGGACGGGCATCCCCACATGGAGGGTCGGTCCCCTCAGAAAACCCCTCGCGAGGGCGCCTCCAGGCCGGGTGTGTACAGCTTACTGGGCTGGTCAGGTTCTCTTCGGGGGACACAGAGGTCCCCCTGCCCCCAGGGCCAGAGGCAGGTGAGGACATGGACACCCTTGACACGGAAATGCAGCGCATTCTGCCACCACAGTACCAGTCAACAGGCCGCTGGCGCCAGCATAGGTGCCGCCCTCGATGGCCCTGGGTGGCCGCTGTGGCCTGGGGCCTTGAGCACCAAAGCAAATCCCCACGCGGAAGTGGTTTCCCAGGGCGCTCCACGCCGCAGGCCCTGCCCAGCTCCCGGCACCAGCTCCGTCCTGGCCCCCAGCGGCCTCGCTCTAACAAGCCCCGGTGGACCAGGGCTGACCCAGGCACTTCCCAAACCCAACTCCACGGGGGTCTGGGGGTTGGGATAAAAGACAGGGGTGGGGGTGGGGACAGGGACAGGGGAATGTGGGGGAGGAGCGGGAGCAGAGGGAGAGGTGGAGGAGGGAGGGGGAGAACAGAAAAGGGGGTGGGGTCCTGAGAGACAGACAAGGCGCTTTTTGGGGTTCTCTCCCAGGACTCACCAAGTTCCCTCTTCCAGGGCACAGCACCGCTGAGGGGGCCAGAGGACAGCCGTGCAGCAGGGACCCACCTCTGCCACTGCCCGGGTCTCCAGCAGTCTACCCGTTCGCTCCTGTTTCCCCCCTGCCTCCAGGGCCAGACACTCCCACCCCACCGGAGCTGGGTCTGCAGGTCCAGCCTGGACTCCTTCAGCTGGGGCCACGGGGCGGGAGGAAGGGCCAACCTGCAGACCCACCCTGACCTCCGCAGAGGCCTTGTTCCACCGCCCAGCAGGGAGTCTGCACAGCGTGCTTGAGGCTGGGCTTTGCAGGCAGGGCCAACACAGGGGGAGCGGACAGGGCTACGGGCGCCCAGGGCACTCCCTGAGAGGAACAGGCCACTCAGCCCCCAGGGGCGACGGTCGGACTGGCAGTGTCAGCTGACCAGGACCTGGCCCTGCTCTCCCACCCTCCGCCCCACCCCACCTTCTGGAACTGACTGTTCAACTGTCATCCTTTCCCCAGTCTGAACTGGGCACAGGCACAGATCAAATGAATCCCTGATGACAAGCCGTTCCTCTCAATGGACCAGGTTCCCCGGGCAAACCCTCAGCTGGCCTGGGGCAGCTCTACCCTTTACCCCTCCTCCAACCCCATGGCTCCAGGCCTGCTGGGTGGGGTCAACTATTAAGTGTTAACAGTAACAGCAGCGGGCCTGGAGTAATGTGCCGGTAGGGGTGTGCCCCGCACTTCATTCACACGCATCACACGCGCTGCACACACATCACCTGTGCTGGCAGCACCCTGGTGGCAGCGGGAGCTACAGGGCCCTGAGCACACAGGGCGGTCTGGCTCCCAAACCTGGGCTCAAACCCCCTCCCAGGGCACAGTGTGCCCACCCCTCCCCCAGGCACCCAAGACCCCACAACTTCCAGGTGAGAGGTCAGTGTGCTGGCCACAGGGTGGGGGGGCCACTAGCCCTCCCTCCAGGCTGCCATGCTTGCGGACAAAGGGGACCCAGAAGCCGGGACGGTGGAGTGGGACAGGTGACCGGGGCCAAGCTGGGGGAAGGCGCCAGGGGTCTGTGTGTGGCCCTCCGCGTAGGCAGCCAGGCCCTCCTCCAGGTACGCTCCCCAAAAGTGCCCCGACAGGGCAAGACCCCAGGGCTGGCATATGGACTTCTGCCGGGAAGGCCCTTCCTTTTCCCTGATAAAAGCTTGTGATAACCAGAAACTCCTACTGCCTTTGGGTGTCTCCTCCCCTTCCAGAGGTCCTTGAGCCTCGAGGAAACCTTGATTTCGAGTCTCAGGGGCTGGGACCTGGCTGGGCAATAGCACCCTCCTGAGGCTCCTTCCCACCAGCCTCTCGCCACACCTGAGCGCCTCTGGTCCAGCGGCAGGGAGAGGCTGGGGCTGGCCTCGGAGAGACGCGGGCCTCCTGGGTGTGCCTCTTACCGTGAGGCCTCAGGGCACTTCATGTCCGTCTTTGTAAAGCGGAACGAGGCTTAGAGGAGTGGTTAGTGGTTCGCAGGCCTGGAGCGGCTCTGGGCGTCTTACACCTGCCCGACCAACACCAGCTGGCCCGTGGAAGACCTGCGAGGCTTCCTTTCAGCGCGAGCGGCGCTTTGGAGCTCCTGCTGTGTGCGCGGGCCTGGGGCTGCCGTCCGCGAGAGGATTCGCGGTCCCCGGGGGGTGGGGGGGTGGGGAGCCCGTCCCCCAGGCCCGGCCTGGCTCGGGAGGCCACGTCTCTGGGGGCCCCGCCTGCAGGGAGCCCGCTGCGCGCCGCGGCCGACGACGGGAGGCCGGGGCCGGGGCCAGGCAGGGCTTGGAGCCTGCGAGGCGCGGATGGAGAGAACGGCGGCTGGACCCGGCGGCCCGGCCTTCCCGGGGGCGGGGGGCCTCGGGCGGGCGGAGGGGCCGCCGGGCAGCGCAGAGACGCCTCCTGCCGCCCCCTTCGGGGTTTCGGTTCTGCCCCCGGCCCGGCCCGGCCCAGCGCGCCCCTCTCCCGCGCACGCACCCGGGGGGCCCGGCCGAGGCGCAGGCGGCCCGCGGAGACGGCGGGGGGCGGGGGGGACCCCTCTCTGCCTCTGCCACCCCGACAAGGAAACGTCCGAACCGGCCGGAGGGAAATGGCGGGGCCTCGGGGCGCCCGGGGGCGGGGGGGCGGGGAGGCGAGCGCGCCCGCGGACTCGAGCCGGGCGACCCCCTCGCGCCCCGAGGGCCCGACGACGCGGCCGCCCGCGGCGGGGCCGGGCGACCGGGGCGGCCTCAGGTTCCGCCTCCGAGAAATGGGCGGCGCCGGGCCGGGCGCGACCCCGGGCGGCGGGGCGCGAAGGGTTAAGGCACCTGGCCCGGGCGGCCCCTCCTCCGGCCGCGGGGAGGTCTCGGCGGGGGCGCGGCCGGCCCCCGCCCCCCGCCCCGGCCCCGCCCCGGCCCCCGCCCCGGCCTCCGCCCCCGCCCGCGTCCCCGCCGCGCCAGACTGCGACCCGCGCGCCCCGCTCCGCCGCCCCGGCCCGGGCCGCCATGTCTCAGTGGTGAGTGGGGACCCGGGGGCGCGGGCGGGCACGCGGGACCCCGGCTCCCCTGCTCCCCCCGGCCGGGGCGCCCTGGGCCGGCCTCAGCCTCGGGGACCGCGGGGCGCCCGCGCGGCGGGGATGCCGGGTCCGCGCGCCCGCGCCGGCTGGCGGCGCCCCGCGCCCGGGGGCCCCCCCAGCCAGACCCGCACCCCAGCCCCAGGGCTTCCTGCGTCCTGGGCGACTCCGGCCGCTCTCGCCTCTCTCCCCCCGGGGTGGCGGGGTCTCCCTCCCCTGCAGCCTGGGGCGCACGCGCCTCTCCCCGCTCCTCCCCGCCCCCCAGTCCCCTGCGAGCCTTTTGCCTAGAGTTGGGGGGGGGCGTGCAGGTGGAATGGGGCCGCCCTTCACCCTCCTCCCCTGGGGTGCCCTGGCAGCACCTCCACCAGCCCTGGCCTCGGGGAAGAACCCCTAAGGCAGGAAAACCAGCCCGAGGCTCGGGGGCCCGGGCTTGGGTCACCCTCCGCGGGCTTTTCCCCTGCTGCCTGCACAGGAACCTCGGGGCCCCCTGGAAACGTCGCCCCGTGGCGCTCAGCCCGCTGCACCCGGGCCACCCCATCCTTCAACCACCAGCTCTGCAGCGCCCCCTCCGCGCCCCCCCCCCCCCCCCCCCCCCGCCCCCAGGCTTCTCCAGAGCCCCGGCCTCCCTGTACTGCAGTCAGCCCCGTTGACCTGGGCCCTGAGGCCCGGCTGTTCTGCCTTCTTTGGAACCCTCAGCCCTAGTCGCCATTGCAGAGGCCACAGCAGGCGGCCTGGCCACCCCTAGAGTGTGGGCTCAAGGCAGAGGGTCCTGGGGTCCAGGGGCGCTATCTTCCCAGCCCAAGTCTGGCCAGCACCCCTGGCAAAAAGCTCTCATTTCTGCTTCTGAAATGGGTGTGGTGGGGCTGCCTGGGTAGGGAGGGTGTGTCCCCCCCAGGACAGTAGAGCTGGAGGACTTCGGGTTACCTAGTGGGGGTCAGAGGACAGTGGCCATGGTAGGAGGAGGCCATTTTCAGGCCCGAGGATGGGGTAGATCAATCTTCAGGTCTCACAGTAGAGCCTGCTCCCCAGTGTCCCCCCAATTACTGAGCTCCCAGGCTCAGAGCAGGTGCCACCTCTGCCCCTCCCAAAGGTTCACTGGGTTTACACAGGGAAATGAAGACAAACGGGGTTCCTCGCCTCCCTTTTCGGGGGTCAGAGAACAGCAGAGTTTCAGACATTGATGACCCAGCCCTGGGTTATTGCCCTCATTTCCGGGAAGAGGACAATATAATAATATGCCCTGGAGAGAATATGCCCTGGAGATAACATGCCCTGGAGGTAATATGCCCTGGAGGTAATATGCCCTGGAGAGAATATGCCCTGGAGAGAATATGCCCTGGAGATAATATGCCCTGGAGGTAATATGCCCTGGAGATAATATGCCCTGGAGGTAATATGCCCTGGAGGTAATATGCCCTGGAGAGATTGAGGGAGGCCCTGGCAGTCATTACGTCCAGGGTCCCCCCGCCCTTGTGGGACAGCAGTTCTGGGGCTCCTGGGAGAGTCATGGAGACGCATCCTTTCCTCTCTCCTCTGCCTTTCTTCCGCCCCACCCCCAGGAAGAGAAAGGTCTACAAGAGTGTGTGCCTGGCCCTGGCCCTGCTCGTGGCCATCACGATATTCCAGCGCAGCCTGACCCCCAGCCAGTTTCTGCAGGGCCCCCCGCTGCTTACCTTGGGGCTACAGAAGGCCGAGAAAGACAGCAGTCATCCCATGAGCTCCAACAACTTCTGGAAGAGCCCCAAGGATGTGGCCCCCCCCACACCCCTGGCTCCAGAGGCACCTCAGATCTGGGACGTGACCACCACTAACTGCTCAGCCAACGTGAACTTGACCCACCAACCCTGGTTCCAGGGCTTGGAGCCCCACTTCCAGCAGTTTCTGCTCTATCGCCACTGCCGCTACTTCCCCCTGCTGCTGAACCACCCGGAGAAGTGCACGGGCCGCGTCTACCTGCTGGTGGTTGTCAAGTCGGTCATCACGCAGCACGACCGCCGTGAGGCCATCCGCCAGACCTGGGGCCGCGAGCAGGACTCGGCGGGCGGCGGCCGCGGGGCCGTGCGCACCCTCTTCCTGCTGGGCACAGCCTCCAAGCAGGAGGAGCGGGCCCACTACCAGCAGCTGCTGGCCTACGAGGACCGGGTCTACGGCGACATCCTGCAGTGGGACTTCCTCGACAGCTTCTTCAACCTGACCCTCAAGGAGATCCACTTCCTCAAGTGGCTGGACATCTTCTGCCCCAGTGTCCCCTTCGTCTTCAAGGGCGACGACGACGTGTTCGTCAACCCCACCAACCTGCTCGAGTTCCTGGACGACCGGCAGCCTCAGGAAGACCTGTTCGTGGGTGACGTCCTGCAGCACGCGCGGCCCATCCGCAGGAAGGAGAACAAATACTACATCCCCACAGCTCTGTACAGCAAGGCCAGCTACCCCCCCTACGCCGGCGGCGGGGGCTTCCTGATGGCTGGCGGCCTGGCCCGGCGCCTGCACCACGCCTGTGACACCCTGGAGCTCTACCCCATCGATGACGTCTTCCTGGGCATGTGCCTGGAGGTGCTGGGGGTCCAGCCCGTGCCCCACAATGGCTTTAAGACCTTCGGCATCTCAAGGAACCACCAGAGCCGCATGAACAAGGAGCCCTGCTTTTACCGAGCCATGCTGGTCGTGCACAAGCTGCTGCCCCCTGAGCTGCTGGCCATGTGGGGGCTGGTGCACAGCAACCTCACCTGCTCCCGCAGGCTCCAGGTGCTCTAACCCTGGGCTGAGGGGAGAGGCGAGGGCTGGACCCCGCTAGTCGTGGGTTGCAGGGACAGTACCCAGATGAGATGGTCCCTTACAGGAAGGGAGAGGGTTTGGGCCTCTGTGCCCCTAGTGTGGGGAGGTGCCGGTGGACAGATGGGGCCTTTCTGTGCAGACACTTTCCAGAAAATGGAGCTGAGGCCCAGGAACATTTGGAACCGCCCAGACCAGAGAAGGTCATCCCAGGAGCAAGGCTGCTGGCCACCCTCCAAACCTAGATCGGTTGCCTGGGCTCCCTCTCACTCTGTGGGAGGCCCCGGTGGCCTCTGATGGTGTGTGGGGGCTACCTGGGCAGCCCCCAGGAAAAGAGGAGGTTGCAGAACCCTGTGCTCAGGTACTGGGCTAGGCCATGGGCCCATGGCTGCCCTCTGATCTCTAAGAAGATTCTCCTTTTCCCCTGAAATGCCTCAGTCTCTCCACAGGCCCCAGGGGCTCTTTCAGGAGAAGCTCAGCCCTGTGCAGGCTCACAGGCCCCCTGCGGCCACGCCCTGCGTCTCCTGGAGCCAAAGCCTCAGAAGGCCCTCCTGGCACTCCCCCGACCTGCCTGGTGAAGGTTGCCCTGTCTCTGCTCCCAGGTGGCTTCGCTTCCGTCTCTGCCCTGGGACGCTCCACCAGGCCTGGGCGGAAGCTAGACCCACCTCTCTGACTACCTCAGCGACCCTCAGAACCTCTGGACAGGCTGTGGCACCCCCGCCCCTCCCCCGGCACAGGGCGAAGAGCAGTGCTCCGCCCCCAAGTCATGGTGCTGCTGACCAGCCCAGGGCCTCCAGCAGCCCCACACGGGCCTGGCTCCTTGGCCGGAAACCAGCTGTTTGACCCTGAGGTGGACAGTCCCCTGTTACTGTGAAGCTTTATTTATGAAGAATTTAAAAGCACCAGGCATAGGAGTTCTTCCCTCTCTTCCAGCAAGACAGCACGTCCCTCTGCCTCTCCTACCCCCCCAAACCTCCTACCTGTACCCCACTTCTCCAGAGCCTGAGTAGACCAGCATTTGCCCCTTGGAGGGATGGAGTGACCCTCTTGGGACACCCCCAGGCTCGGGTCCTTGGAGGGTACAGAAGGATCCCCCCTCACATCTCAGGGGTCCACCTGGGTGAAGACTGAGGGATTAACTGCTCAATAAAAGGGGGCTGTTTTTTCTGGGGTGAAACTTCCAGTTGCCATTTCCATCTGCGGCAAGTGGGGGGCCAGAGATTTCTGAAGACAAAGCTTGTTCCTTGTTCCTGGCTGGGGGTGTACAAGGACCCCTTAGGGGCGCTACAGGGAGGTGAGTGCCAGGATTAAGGCAGAGGCTCCGGTGAGAGTGAAGAAAGATGCCGCCGGGCTGGCTGAGGAGGCCGGAGAGACCTGCGAGCTCCCAGGATGTTCCCAGGAGGCCCCAGCAAGTGGTCCCCAGCTGCTGTTAGGGCAGGTGGGGTTGCTGGGCTCCCTGGTACCCCTTCAGTCAACCTGGAAGATTGACAGGCTGACAAGAAGCTTTGAAACTGGCTCAGGGTGGGGTCCAGTGTGGGGAGGGGCAGGGTGGGGAGGCTGTGCTGGGCCAGGACCTTGGGGAGGGCAGTGCCCCCTGGAGAGTTCCCAGGACAAAGGGAGCAAGCCAACAGCTCCTGCCTGCACCCCTCTCTGGCACCCCCCAAAACCCCTCACTGAATGTCTACACTGGGCCTCTCCCAGACGAAGGGTAGGAGTGGCTGGGTCCTGATTACAATGCAGCGTCTTAGAGCTAAGAAGGGGTGTTGAGGCTAAAAATGCCCATGATGGCTCCAGCCGCCTGGGTCCAGCCTCCAGAGGAGGGGGGAACATGAGGTGGCTGTTTCTTTCTCCCGGGTTCGGATCCCGCCCTCCCCTTTCAGTCAGCCAGCTGCGAAATTCACAGAGCCCCTTGCAGAATGAAAATGGCGGCCTGGCTTCCCAGTCGGCGCCGCATCTGAAGTTTGCCTCCGCAGAGAGGAAGCTGGAGCCCTTTGCAGGTGAGATGCCTGGCGACTCCGTGTCGGAGGCATGAGGAGCCCCCGGCACCAGCTCAGTCCTGCACCGCCCCAGAGCACCCTGGCCAGGACGGCAGAAAAGCAAAAAGGAGCCCTAGGGCCTTTGTCTTCTCGGAGCTCGGTCCAGCGCAGGCAAGTGCAGTGAGGGGACACCCAGGAGGCTTCAGGGTGGAAGAGTCACCAGGCCGGGTGGGTGTCCAGAAAGCCCGAGGACATCCAGGGGCAGGGGATCCTCTGCGGCCTGAGGCTGCGTGGGCAGGCGTGTTTTGCAGCTGCGTCAGCAGGCAGGGCCTGTTCTCGGGGATTTGGGGTGCAGGAGGGAATGCAGACTCCATCCTGAGGGCAGAGGAGCACGGCCCATGGGCCCTGGGTGGACACCTCTTTCTCTGGGTGCCATGGACGCACCGGCTGGAGCTCTGAGTGCAGGCGTCAGTCCTCAGCCTCTGCCCCACGCGGGTTCTTGTCCTCACCTCCCTTCAGATCTCGGGGCCCAGCCCGAGGCCAGAACTGTCACCTCGCAGGGCAGCGGCACTGGGAGTGGCGCGGGGGCGGGGGGCGACTACTCGAAGTCCGCGTGAGGCAACGGGCAGCCTGGAGGGGCCGCACTCCCCGCGGGCAGGTGTGGGGTCAGCATGGAGGGGGGCCGGGAGGGCGTGAAGCGTCCTCTGCGGCGGGTGCCTCGCCCTCCGCACGGCGGCGCTATGGAGCTCGCGGGCCCCCGAGTCCTTGGGCGCGTCCCCCGCCCGGGGGTGCCGCGGAGCCCAGACGTCCGACCCAGAGAGTTGCTTCTCGTCGTCACCCTCAAACACCCGTCCCCAGAGAGCGCCCCTCCCCGGAGGGCAGCAGGGCCCGCGGGGTGCCGCGGCGGGCGGCTGGGGAGCCCCCGGCCCGCGGCCTCCTCCGGCCCTCGCGCAAGCGGCCGCGGTCCGTCCCCGGCCCGGCGTTGGGGAGCGGCCGAGGAGGGGGTGGCCCTTCCCCCCAGGCCCTGGGTTCTCGTGCAGAATTTCCCCGCGCCCGGCCGCCGGCTCCGCATTCCTGGGGCCTTTGTGCGGCCACAAAGCCCGGCCCCCCTCCCGGCCGCGGCGAGCGCGCACGCATTTGCACAACTAAAGGAGCCCCCCCCGACCCCCCCCCCCCGCCCGGGAGCCCCGCGCCTTCTGACAAAGAAGGCCTGTTCCGAGTAGCTGGGCCTCTCGGGCGAGGAGGCGCAGGGAGGGAAACTTCTGGAACCCCGTTATAAATCATTGGGCAAACGAAAAAACGGCGGCTCCCAGGAGGGGGTCCCTCGGGCCCGCGCCCCGCACTTGCTGCCCCGCGAGCGCTGCGGCCCCGCCCCGGTGCCTAGAGGGGTCGCGCGTGTCCGGGGCTGTGTCTGGAGCCCGAAGAGCGGGGAAACGCCGAGCCGTTGGGACGGGGGTGCCGGGGGAGCCCGCGGAGGCTGCACCGAGGGGACGGGTCTCTCCGGGGTCCCTCCGAAGGCTGCGCGGCGGGGGGCGCCCCCGTCTCGGAGCCCCGCGCCCCCGGCCGACCCCGCGCGCGGCTCCTGCGGCGGCCCCGGGCCCGACGGCGCGGCCGGGCGCCTCTGCCCGCGGCGGAAAAGCCAGTTTGGCCTCGGTTTGCAGTTCGAGTCCTTCGCCCGGCCCGGGAGCGCGTGGACGGCGGCGGGGCGTCCGCGGGCACGTGCGGCTCCGGAGAGTCCGCGGGGCGTCGCGGCGCCTCCGGAGTTTGCGTCTCGGGATGCGCTTCGCGTCTTCCAGGGAAACTCGGGGCTCCACCCGGGGCTCGAGCCCGCCGCTGGTCTGGGCGCCCCCATCCTCACCATTGTCCCCCCGACTCGCCTGACCCTGCGTCTCTCATCCGCCTCGCGGTGGCCCTGGCGGCCCCAGAGACAGCCCTGGACTCTCCCCAGCGCAAGGCCACTATGGAAAGTTCCAGAACCCCGTGATGTGCGCAGTCTTACTTCCCCGTGACAACAATTGCCATTTGGCGGGACGCGGGATGTGCCTGGTGCGTGGCGCGCCCTGGACGTGCAAAATTTCGACGTAATTCAAGTCGAAATTCTCCTCACTGAGCCTCGGTGGCTCTGGGGGTGACCTTCCCGGGAGCCCCGCCGGGCGGGTCACGTCCACCCCGGGGCGCGCGGCCTGGGGGTGTCGGCAGGCGCGGGGGGGGGAGCGGGGCGGGCGGGGCTGGGGACGTCGCGGGGCCGCGGGGACCGCGGGGAATCTGCGCGCTCGCGTTTCCGCGGGACGCCCGGAATTGCGCCCCCGGCCCCGCTGTGGCCCGTGTCCCCAGGGCCCCGCCCGGCGCTCCAGGCGCTCCAGGCGCCCCCGGTCCCGCGCTCCTTCAAGGGCGGTCGGGCCCAGAGGCCGCGGCGGCCCCGCCCGGGGCTCCCCCGGGCCGCGCGCTTTGCCGTCGGGAATGCGGCTGGGGCTGGGACCCCGGGAGTCCGCCGGGGCCCGAGGTGGGGCTCTCGCCCCGGCACAGCTTTCCCAGCGGGACCTGCCTGCGAGGGTCGCGGGGCGCTGGGACGACCCTTCCCAGCCGGCGCGCCCAGGCAGGGCCCCCAAGATCGATGGCGGGGGGCGGGGCGGGGGGCCGGTGGCGTCCCCTGCGCTGCGTCCTCCCGGGAGACGGCCGAGAGCGCCCCCCGCTGGCCAAGCAGGGCATCGTGTGACAGAAGGAAGTTAACGGTTTTGCTGCTTCTGGGAAATCTGCGCCCCACGTCCGCCCCGTCACCTAAGGCATGTGCGCCTCAAAATCCTGGCACAAGGGCCTCCCTGGCGGCGCAAGGGGTTAAGTCCCAGCACTATGAAGCTGTCCGCAGCCTCTGCAGCACCAGATCCGTCCTCAGCCGCGGAGCTACCCACAGGGCCCAGCAGACCTCTGGAGTCCCGCCCGCTGCGCCCCTCAGCAGTGTATTTCAGTAGATCTGCCTGTTCTGCTCCCCACTCTGTGTCTAGTGAGTCCACTCACGCCCCCCGCCCCCATCTCTGGCCTGCACCCCAGTTCTTGTAGGCATAAATAAATACATAAATACTTTTTTTAAAATGCAGGCAAAACTCCTCTCCAATCTGTTTAACAAGAATTGTTTCCTGGCAGGAAGGGCCCTGGGGATTTCAGCTTTTGAGGGGCGGGGGTGGAGGGGGGGGTTGCCTGTTTAAGGAAGATGGTCTCCCGAGCAGGTGTCTCCAAGGGGAGGAGCAAAGTCTAGGAGAAAGAGTGTCAAGATCAGGACAGACATGGTGGCCTTGGATGGATGCAGGTGGCGATGAGGCCCCCAGAGCCACCTGAGGGGAAGGAGAACTGGTTTTCCTTCTACCCGAGTAGATCAGTGCAGCCTCAGGTTGACAGAGCTCTCCCTTAAGGGCCTTTTGAGTCAGAAGCAAGACCCTGGCCATCAGGAAATGGTTTGCTGCCAACCGGCTTAGTGCCTGAGCTCTCCCAGAAAAGGGGGCACAACAGCCCCCCTTTCATCGCGCAATCACACGTGCAACCGTGCTTAAGTGTTTGGTTGCTGGCGATACAGAATTCAGGCCGAATTGGGTTGAAACCTTGAAGATTTGCAGCCCGTGGGAGGGGAGGGTCAAGGGCACCGCCGGGTCCTGCTTCTCCAGGACATAGACACCAGCCCAGGCAGTCACCCCACTTTCCTGGGGCCCCCCCAGGTCCTGAGGAATGGGCATATGATACCGTAATTTCAGGCCTAGTGTCCCAGCCAGGAATGGATCCCAGGCTGCGGGCTGAGCCCCAGCCCCGAGACCCCCAGGGGTTGGCGTCTCACGAAGCCGCAGCAGGAACTTCGCAGACGCTCAGGCAAGCACGCGAGAAGAGCAGATTTGTTTAGAGAAAGGAAAGGTTTATTAAGGAGGAGAGGAACAGAAGTAAAGTGGGACTCCCGGGCCATGGAACCAGGCCAGGGAGGGGCGAGGAAGCCGAAGTGGAGTCGGGAGTCAGACCTTCCTTCCCTGGTGATTCTACAGCCCCGTGAGTCCCCTTGTGATTGGAGCTCGGTGGTCTCACCCGCTGGGCCACAGATGTCTCTTGCCCAGCACTAAGTCTCTGTGTCCCAGCCCTTATCTTAGCGCCCTTTTTCTTTATCATCCTCGTTCCGGAATGTCCTGTTGCCCCTAGTCCTGGGTGTTTGATTAGTTCCCTGTGAAGTTTGTTGCCCTGATCTCTGGAGCCTTCCTTATTCCTCTGAGGCTTTTCCTTTCTATCCTGACCCAAGGAGCTCTCCCTTGCCCTATGACTCACCGAGACGCAGCCAGGTGCCAAAACTGTACTTTAGCCGCCATGCTTAGCCTGCTGCAAATAGTCTGGAAGACAGGCCAGAGGAGTTCTGGGCACAGGTGGCTGTCCCCCGAGCTGCCTGCACTCGGCTCAGTGCCGCTGCCTGGAAACACCCAGATTCAGC